ATAAAATAAAAATAATTTTTTATGTCATAAAATTGTCGCACATGTCCTAAGTGGCATCATTTGTTACATGTCTAATAAAATATGAAATCTACAAAAAAATCAGAGTCATTAAATTTTCATTTCATAAATAAAAGAAAAACATGATTTTAAAGAATTTAATTTTTCGCAAATTTTAATTTTCAAGAAATTTATTACAGGAGGTTTTTTGTCATACATACATCATTTGTCATATCTCTCAAGTGTCATAATTGTTTTACTTGTCAAATGTCTCATCTAAAAAATTATCACATCTGTCATAAATCACATCTGTCAAAAGTCTAAGAAATAATGAAAGTTACAAAAAACAGAAATTAATTTTCAATCAAATTTGCATTCCATGCAGTAAAAAAACGTTATTGAAATTAATTTTGGCGAAGGTGTTTTATTTAAAATTTTTCATTTAAAGAAAAATACGAATTAATGTGAATTAATAGAAAAAAAACAAACATTATTTTAAAGAAATTAATATTTTGAGATTTTTTTAAAATTTAATTTATGAAAGTGTTTTATGTCAAGTTTTTACAAGAAGGAAGATATGATTTTCTACTGGATAATTGAAAAATAAGAAGTTTTTCTTGTGAATAATCAAATTGCACTCCTTATAAAAAGAAAATTTATATTTTTGAAGAGCATTTTTTATGTAATGTTATTTTATATGATATGTTATATGACGCTTCTGTTAAATATCATATCTGTAAATTGTTTTACTTGAAGAAAGTCTCATCCAAGAAATATAACACATGTCATAAATCGTATCTTTCAAATGTCTAAAAAACAATGAAATTTACCAAAAGCAGAAATAATTTTTTGATCAAATTTGCATTCCATACAAAAAGAAAAACATAATTTTGGAGAAAACTTTTTTACGGGAGTGTTTTTATGAGTGATTTACAAAATTTAAATTCCTTACATGAAAAAAATATATATTTAAATATTTAAAGGTTTTGTTATGTAAATTTCATAATTTTGAAGATAATTTTATCTTAGGGAGTGTTTATTTTATGTCATATAAGCGTCAAATGTTACATGAAAATACAAAATTATAAAATACAAAAAATTTATATTTTCTAAGTATGCGACATATGACATAAAAAATACTCAAGTACGGAAAGCAAATATAGGTAAAAATTTTTTTTTTGACATTTCATAGATGTTACATTTGACAGATGCAACATATGACATATGACATAAAAATAACATTACCATAAAAATATGTTCTTCAAAAGTATTATTAGTATGGAATGCAAATTTAATTATTCACAAGGAAAACTTTTTACTTTTTCATAATTCAGTAGCAAATCGTATCTTCAAGTAAAAATCTTGACATAAATACCTTCATATATTAAATTAAAAAATAAAAATTCCTGCCCAAATTTAATTTTTAAAATTATGTTATTCTTTACGTTTGTAATGCAAATTTAATTAAAAATGATTTTGGATATTTGTAAACTTCATAATTTTTTTTGTTGACATTTTTCAGATGTGACTTGTGACATTTGAGACAATTTTATGGATGAGACATTTTTAAAGAAAATCAATTTACAGATATGACATTCGACAGATGCGACATATTATATGTGACTTAAAAACAATATTACTGTATGGAATGCAAATTGATTATTCACAATAAAAACTGTCAAATCTGTAAATAGTTTTGCTTGTCATGTTTGGAATTTAATAAAAAATTATTTCAGATTTTTTTTTGTCAATCTCATTATTTCTTTAAAAAATTAACTGGCTTTAGAAATTGAACAGTAAACCTATAATACACATAGAAACATTTACTTTAATGCTACTTCCTTAGAGAGTTGGCACCTGGACGCCAACCCCCCCCACCCCTTCCCCCACTCAGTCCCTTAGACTATTTAGTTTACAGAGAGAAAAAAAATAATCAGGCCACCAAACGATAGTAAATATACTATATGTAATTTTGAGTTGTAAATATTTTTTTACATATTCCAACAAAGAAGACATTTATCTACGCTGAATCTTGGAAATCATATCAACTATTTAGAGGACATGTAGTCTTTCTTTTTACATTTGACACTTGTGACGTTGTGCGCAGTAGGTCGAATTTTCTGTTGCCATCTTTTGTACTTGACAATCTATTTGGCGAAATTCAAATATAATATACAAGTTGTCCCACGAAACATTTTTAAGATCTAAAATTTTGGCTTTTAAAGAAATATCAAACCAACAGCTTACTTAAAATGTACGAAAATTTGTCAATTTTAGGTTATGTATGAACAAATGAAAATTATATGTAAAAAATCTAAATTTGATAAATACGAGAAATCAATTTTTTAGCTCATATACTTCATACTTAAAGAAGTAATTGTAATATAAACAGAATGCCTTGAAATATCTGAAATATAAAGCTTTCTAATGTTTCCATGACTGTGAAAATTTAAATAAAATTGTTGCCTCGGAACCCAATACTCCTACTGCAAATGTTTGTTTGGACACACTGTATTAATATATATCTACAAAAATTTTCCATTGATTTCATAATTCAGGCACTTTTTAAAATTTTATATATTTCTTATGTGTTCCCAAAAATTGTAAAATACGACATTTGTGAGAAAAAAAATTAATATCCTGAGAAGACAACATTTCATTAGAAAATTACCTTTTCTTGTTGCCTGTATTTTCCCCATATCTGGGGGTTTATCCTCGATTAGATTAGATTATTTATAGTTTTTTTCAGACAGAGAATTTGAGTTGACACTTATGATGTAAATACAGCTTTACTGAAAGTGTACGCATTATATGTGTTGCCATCTATTGAACATCTGTCCTTTCAAATGAACTGTAGAAGTCAGTAGTTTTTAGTGTTATTTTCATTTTACTTAAAAGTTAAAAGCTCTTTAACTTTGAATCAAAATGTAAAACCCTAGATTATCCTCTTTTAACTAGCGTTGTAAAATCTCACTTGGTAAATTAATATTTCGGCTACACTGGACAAATCAAATTGACAGCTAGGTTAAAAGTTGTGGTACTCAAACCAAACATTATATTATATACTTACAGTTACATATAAATAAATAGTTACAGTTACATATATATAAATAGGATGTTCAAAAAATGTTTTTATTGTGAATCAGAATAAATTTTATTTCTTTTCTTAATCTTTTAGTTTGGGTGACTTGGTGAGTGAAATGCAATGGGATGTACAATGTAGATTGTAGATTGCTTGAGAAAGGGAAATGCAAGCAGATGTAATATTAAAAGAGCCCCCCCCCCCTTCAGGAGCGGCCGGGGGGTTGCCCTCCCCTCCTTGTACGCTCCTTTTACCAACTGGTGGGTTTATTTAAGTTGTCTAATTTTTTTTGATTCGTTTTTGAAGTATCTCTTGGTATATTTTAATGTATACACAACACATGGAACAAAACTAAAATCCTTTAATTCAAAAGTTTGAGCTGTTGATATCAACTTTAGTTAATATTCTAAGCAAAAGATTCCGCCTCTGATCAATTTCTCTGTTAGAGGAGACTATTTCTGGAAGTGGAGTAGGAAGAGTACCAGTTGAGGATAAACTTTACAAGAGTTTAAAAGTCACTTATAAATTCTTTAAATAAATAAAATGAATAAAACCAACAGCTCACAATCTTGCCTTCTTCCTTTCAAAGTTCGCATAGATTTTGGAAACAATGTTTTCATTTTCCTTTTCATTTTAAGTTGTTTAATTCTTGCTTTGTTATTTGGATATTTACTGCTGAAGCACAAGCTGAGTACAGCAGATCAAGCAAAGAACTTCATTGTTCTGATCAATGAAGACCTCTTCTACTTCTACCTGGGAATGCTGCTACCTATAGTAATTATTTTAGAAGAATTTGTTTCTTTTGACATTTTCTAGATTAAATTTGCCAATATATATAGGTCGGGCAGAATGTAAAATTACACACACTGAATTGCAAAGTTTTGTGAAAAAATATTTTTTTCGGAGGCAAGTGCAAACCTTACATAATTAAATATTTTTGTTGGAGCAACTCACTGATGCTTCAATTTAATCTTTCGGAGAATAGGTAAAAAAGTAAACTTCAAGAAGTCCCCATTCTTATCTTTGCAAATGTGTTTTATTCAGAACTTGAAGTTTTGTTGCATTATACATTAAATTTTTCTTCCTTTATCATTATCCTATTCATTATTTGATGAAGTGAATAAAATGCTCTGTCTATCTGTCTGCATCTACATTATACACTAGTTGTTCATTGAAAACTAGCCATAATTTTTCCATTCTGCTGAGCTGGAAACCACAGGACGTTATGAGGAAGGCGACCTACACCCGTTTAACTTCCGATCCACAAATGACGTCACAAAATGGTATTTGAGGCATGCGCTTACCCATATAGATTCCTACACACTCCTGTAGTCCCTTTCGTAAAAAAGTCTTTGTATGCCAATTATAGACAAATGCAGTATTAGTTTAGATTTTTAGAGACGTCATGGGATCTGTAGATGATATATATGATATATCATATAATAAACTTAATTGTAATATTTTTTGGTAACAGAAGAAGATATTTTGACTGAGGGAAGCAATGGTTGTGAAAATCCACTATAAAAAGTGCGTTTTTTATATTTTACTCTTAATCTATAAATACCTTAAAGTTATAGGGGCTCACAATAATATTTGCATAAAATAATAAAGGTGTGCCTTTCAGTTTAAGTATAGTTATACATTAACCCACACCCAATTTACCTCCGACCCACAAACGTCATATGTTTATAACATATTCTTTAACTGAATTGCACGCCAAAAGGAAACATTTTCTCTAAAAATTAATTTTTTGTTAGTGTTCCAAAACTTAATTTGAGAAGAATATTGTCAGCAGATGTTTAAATTAATGCTGAATTAATCTTTAATTAGCATACATAAGTAAAGGCTTTTTGACGGACGGGTAACGGGAGTGGGTCGGAGTCTATATGAGTAAGCACATGCTGCAGATACCATTTTTTTACGTCATATTTAGGTCAAAGGTGAGATAGGTGTGGGTCGCCTTCTCCCATCACAGCACAGATCATTGTAAGTTACATTTGTGGTTGGAACCTTTGTATTGTTATCCCATTTTACAGCTTTTTAGTTTAACGTACTTAATATTATTTTGTATCAACAGGTCTTTAAAATATAGAAATAATTGATTCCAAGACCTATAGTATCACAATCAATTTCATTATCTGCCAAGAATTAATATCTTATTATAATATTAATATTTAATTAATCAATGAAAGATACAATTTTAATTCTCCTTCACTAATCCAATCAACCATTTTCCAATGATGACTAATGATGCCGTACCTTACCTATTTGTAAATATAGTTTTTCATATTAATTAATCTATTATCATAAAAAAAGAAATTCGTGCCAGTGAAGAATACATGTGAGATTTTTTTTTTATTCCCATTTGAGAAATAACATGATGAAAATTTATTATTGTTATCTGAGAATACATTTCTAGCCTTTTCCCAAATATGTCCTTTTGGAACCTAATCAATACTGTATATCAAAAACACTTTATTTAAGCATGTAGTATGCATATGTGTTCCAATATAATTCTAAATCAAAACTATGTACATTTTTTTTAAAAGGTTGGAGTGGGCTGTTGTCGAAACATGTTCTTTGGTGTTCCAATCTACATTGCCATGCTTACAAGATACCTGTACATATACTTTTTCCTCTGTATATGCCTCCTCTACCAAGCGGCTTCAATCTTCAAACTCTGCCTCATTGTAGAGGTAAACGTTAAACTATAATTACCATGCATAATGCATTTTTCATCATATCACCGAATAAGAAATGGTGGGCGTTGCAATAAGAGAATAATTGCACTTTTAATTAACTAGCAGGAGTTTTGGAACATTAGACCTGTATGGCGCTTCGCGCCCTTCTTCTGTTTCAATTTTTGATTGTGTCTCTATCTGTGAGCCTTTTCTCTTTGTACAATAAAAAACTTATTTTAAAAGGTAATTATTTATATTTTCCGTTTCTTGTTAAATGTTTACAATTGTGTTACATAATTGGTTTTACATGTATAACATTTTAAATGAGTTACGGATATCAATTTAAAAAATAAAGTAAGATTAAGTACTGTGTATTTGAAGTTAGGATAATAAAAAATAACATCACGGAAATATTTATTCCATGTTTGATGACACATGTGTAGTGTTTACATATTTCATTTGAGAGAGGACATTTTTAATGCATGATAATTTGAAGAAGAATATCTCATGTTAAAAAGCTATATTTTAAAACATGATAATTTATAAGAAACAAATCGTAAATAACTTTATTCAGACTATAGTCCTATACACTTTTGACCTGCAGTAGTCTTATTCTTTGTAATTAAAGAAAAATATAATTAAAAGATAGTAATCCAGGTCTTGTGTTAGAAACAGAGTAAAAAATAGTTTAGTCGACAAACAGATTTTTTATCTACTGTACTTAAAAAAACAAGTACAACAAAAAGTTAGCGAATAAAGTTTTTTTTCACACATTATCAAAATTTTGCAATCAACGTTTTGATATATATTGGATACAAGCGGACAGACAAGTAAAGTATAAATATATATAGATAAGAAACGGATCAACTGAAACAACGATCTTTAACAGTTTTCATTAAAATTGACGATTTTAATATAAAATTTATATGTAAGTGGCCAGTTGGTACAATAAAATAATATTTAAAAGATTTTGTAAATTTATAATGATCACTTTCATGTCCCAGTTGGTTTTGAGACAGAATTGAACTAAGTTTATCATGTAATAGTCTCCTTTAACATTTGATGGAGCTTGACATTCCATGATTTGATAGAGTTGAATTTTTAAACTTATTTCACTAAGGTCTCCTGTTTCAGTTTGAAAAGATGATGGAGTTAGACCAGGAGGGATTGAAGCGTGGTTCCTACTTTACAGTAACTATCATGAGTGGAATAATCTATTCGGTATTCTACTTTATAAACATACACAGAGGTAACACATATTTCAGTGCAAAGGAACATATCAAACCCTTTTAAATAGAATTGCATTGAAAAAAAAGCATATTTCCTTTGATACTAAATTTTCTGTTCAGGTTCTTTTCAAGAAACAGAGGCCTATTTCAGCAACTGTACCCCTGAGGGTGATGATTACTGCACAATATTCAACATGACCATATTCCTTCTAAATCTAGCAGTATTCCTTATATCTAACCTCATCATTAGATGCTATTCCAACCATCAAGATGGACTCAACTTCTCCTGCCAGCAATATGTTCAATGCTCATTAAGTAAAACCATTACAATTGGAAGTCTAGTAGTCCTAGGGTTTATTGGTTTGATAGTACTGCTAAACAACAAGCCATCTGTAGAGTTATATGGAAATATCTCCCTCTATATGTCCTTCAGCTTTCCAGTTGCTGGACTCCTGTTACATGTAGTGAAGGAGAAAGAATTCACCTTGCCCTATGTGAAGTCACAAATTCTAAGGATTCAAACCCTTATTGGGTGCATGCCTACTCAAGTAGTCCCTGAGCCACCAATTCAATTAGTGGCAAATCCAAACACACTACGCATAAATGTTCAATCAATCAATCCTCAAGATGATGGTGGCATTTTTGTGGGATAAATAGACAGTGGCAGATACAACTTTAATTTCATCACTTTTTCAGTGAATTAAGTCTAAGCCTTCATTGCATTATAAAGTGTAACAGAAATTTCTAAAAACCTTACAAACATTTATTAGTGGCATAAGCATACTGTGAATGAATATTGAATATGAAAACTATACTGAATGGACACTGGACTACAGAAAGATCTTTCTGGTGAAACAAGCATGTTGAAATTTTAAAATGCTTATGCTAGGATTACAAAAATGTGAGTTGGTGAATTAAATTTCTAAGGCTTAGAGGTAGCACTAGGGTAATTAAATGTCTCATGATAAAATACCTAATATCTCAACATGAATATCATTTTTAACAATATTTTGTGTAAAGGGTGCCGTTTCATTTAAAAATTATTTAACAAAAACCATGACAAGTATTTGATATTGTTGTGTGTTGTCTATTGTTATTGAAAGAAACTATCTAACGTTTGTTTCTGTAGAATTTTATAGATTTCGATGTCCTTTAATTGTTCTTAAGTGTGAAATAAAACCTTTAGTTTTCTTCGCACCTTAAGAAACCAGTTCAAATCCAAAAAGATTTTTTGAAGAACAAATTGTAAATTCCAGGTTAGGTCGAAAAAACAAACAGAATTTTTCTGATTTTTATAACATCAATTTTAAGTTAGTAATTTTTTTTTAAAGGTTTCAACGGATTTTACTTATCACATTTTTTCATCTCATGCATTTTCTTCTTAACAATACATCTAAGAATCAAATTTTACATGTAAAAGGATGTTTGTAAGTTTTTATAAATGTATGTATTGTATAATGAATTAAAGAGAGGTCGCTGAACTACCTACCACCAGTTCAAATACCTTTACAATTAATTAAATTTGGTTCCTGAATTCATTGATTGGGTATTGTTAATGTCTATAAACCTAGAAGCCTAAAATATTTTTTTGACATGTTTATTCTTCTGTAATTTTTAGTTTTCTTGAACTGATTTTTATAAATTTGAGCTACGTCACTTACCCACCAATTCAAAGTTAAAGATTAAGGAAGGATTCAAATCGGAGATTCAAATTAGGGCCAGCGGAAGTAAAATTTTTTAAATTCATTATTTAAATTTTAAAATTTACCAACTTAAATAAACTAGATACAAAAAATCATCAAAACTAATATTAGACTTCGACTTTTTTGGGGATATCTCCAAACGGTTTTATCCTCCCCTCCCGCATTGTCCAAAAAAGTCGGCAGCGGTCAAACTGTGTTACTCGCGAATGCCGCAAATGATTATAAGACAGGGAGAGGGCTGTCCTAGCCGCGGTTCTTGGCCCCCTAGCCTGTCCTAGCTGCAGTGCTCGGCCCAGAAAGTGTCTAAACCTAACCTAACCCTAAAATATATACTGATCTCTCTCTTCTTATAATTCATTGTGGTATTTGCGAGTAACAGAGTTTGGCCGCTACCAAAAAAGTAGATACCAAAATGGGCAGCACAGCAGGCTGATTGACCATTTAAACCATTTCTTGTGAACAATTTCAAGATTGGTGGACTTTGAATTGTCAATCACCGGCATATTAAGTTTTAGGATTTAATTTTTTAAAATAAAATAAATTCCAAAATGTTAAAAGTTTTCCAAGTATAAATCAAGATTTAATTGTTTCAATTATTGCTTTGAAAAAAAACTTATTCTCAATATTTAGGATTCAATTTTCAAATTCCAAATATGAAAATGTTTAATGTTCTTCAAGTACAGATAAAGATTTATATATTCAAGTTTTATATCAATTTCTCGAGACAGGAACATCAGATATAACTTTTATGAGTCGCGATCAAGAGCTAAAGTGCTCAGCTTTCAGCCTATACCCCTTTTCATTTTCCTTTATAGTCCCTTTATAGTGAAATAAATGAAGGTGCTTTAAAATGCTTTGCAAATAGCAATTTCAATTCTCTATAAGTTTGCTTTTGATAAATTATGCAAAACTTTTTTTAAAACGATTTTATTAATTGTTTTAGTTTATATCTGTGGTCAGAGTAAATATTTTGTCAAATGTAATGAAAGCAAACTTATCAAACAAACAATTTAAAAGAAAATAAACACCTCAGAATGTTGTGAAACCACTTTAAAAAAGTAAAATAAAACGCGATATTTAAATACTGACCTCAAACTTATGCCTTTCCTCAAATAAAGGGTGTCCCACGAAAATTGTTAATAATTTGCGGCACTAATTTATAAGCCTGATTTAAAATTTCTTAGTTAGTACTCACAAAATTCTCCTTTTCCAGGCATTTCTAAAATGTCGTCTGCCTTTTTTGTAATATTATCGGAGATGTAAAGATTTCTCCAATTTTAGTTTGTTTCATAAATTCTTAATTGTTTGTGAGTATCGTTTCAAAAATCATGCATGCAAGTAGGTTGACGAATAATTGACACAACTTATTTTATGGGTCAAAGACTGGGATTCAAACAAAGGAGATGGAGGGAAATATTGTAAATTAAATATTAACGGAAGTCGCGACTCGCGAAATCAATAAATCGATTTTTCATGGTTCATAATTTAAAGCCAATAGTTTCATTCTTATATTTTGCTTGGACAATGAAAAATCAAAGGAATTGTGTTTTTAAACAATTAAAAAGAATAATTTGATTTCTGCTTCTTTTGAACTTTCCAAAGTTTCTACTGCACAGACTTTTTCATGACATTGACTATTATATTTATAGATTTTTACAGATTTTAATTAAAGATTGCATGCCCTGTAACATAAAATATTGATCGGACAGGTCGAACAAAGGCTTACGTTAGAATGTGCGACCTTGTTTAAAAAAAATGCGCACTGTCAAATTTGGAAAGTTTTGGGGAAAAATGTAAAATATAATTGTCCCTGAAAGCCCTGGTCACAGCTTAAAACATAGATCAAATATTCATTCAGTTTATCCCAACCTGTCATCCAAACCTTTTATCTCAACCTTTCATACCAACCTTTTATCCCAACCTTACATCCAAACCTTTTAACCCAACCTTGTATACCAACCTTTTATCCCAATCTTTTATCCCAACCTTTTATCCCAACCTTTCATCCCAACCTTTCATCCCAACATTTCATCCTAACCTTTCATCCCAACCTTTCATCCCAACCTTTCATCCTAACCTTTCATCCCAACCTTTCATCCCAACTTTTATCCCAACCTTAAATCCCAACCTTTCATCCCAAACTTTCATCCCAACCTTTTATCACAACCATTCATCCCAAACCTTCCATCCAAATCTTTTGTCGCAGTCTTTAGTCAAACCTTTTATTCCAACCTTTCATTCCAACCTTTCATCCCAAACTTTCATTTAAACCTTTCATCCAAACTTGTTTTTCCAGAGTTTAATCCCAACATTTCATCCAAACTTGTCATCCCAACCTTCCTTCCCAACCTTTCATCCCAACATTTTATCCCAACCTTTCATTCCAACCTTTTATCTGAAACTTACATTCCAACCTTCAATCCTAAGTTTTCATCCCATCCCAATTTTCTTTTATTCATTGATAAATGATAACAAAGTTCCGAAAAAAGCATCAAAATTGTAAAAAAACCATATATTATTAAACATTTACCAATTGTTGAAATTACGTTATTTTGAGTTTAAAGAGAAGATGGAAGACGATGTATATATTTCTCTGATTCTTACAGGAGATAAACAGATAAACAGACAGCAAATCGTATACAAAATTATATGAACCAAAACTGTTAACGGATATGATGAAATGCAACAAGTTGTCTTTTAGCTACTACTTATTTCTTAATCCAATTTAAATTAACAGATAGTTATAAAATGTAGTCAAAACCTCTAAAATATTTAGACATAAGAAGCGCCATTAAAAAAAATTTGGGGATTTGTATAATAAGAGATTTTTTGTATAAGCTGCTTTAATCATGGATTATGAAGATGAACGACAAAAGTGCCCAGATTATAAAAAAAACTTTTAAGTTGCTTTAACTTTTTATGTTGTTACACTATCTGTTATACTAGGAGGATGCATACTTATACTTGGTTTCCTTTACTGTGTATCCAGGTAAAAAAAAAATTTATTTTCACAGTAATATCAAACGTCTCAAAAGCATAGAGTAATACTCTATACTCAAAAGCCATCACAAATTTGAAACATTTTGTTCAAAATAATAAGCAGAGTTTTAGGGGGAGACAAATTTCTTAAACTGTTCGAAATTTTGGGAAAAATGTCGGCATTTTTCAAATGGTTTTGAAAGTTCGATATTGCGCACAAAAGTTTAGGTTGGAATTATCTTCCTTCTTTTTCAAATTTAGATTTGGTTTGAAATACACTTTAAATATAATAAATTACAAATATTTCATTCCAATCTAGACATATTAAAAATACAAATTAAAAAAAAATACTGGTAACGTACGGTATCACTTTTTGACCTCGTAGCTTTTAAGAGTTGTTTAGTGCTTCTCTAAAGCTTTCCTAGATTTCAATTAAACATGATTTTTAATTTGAACTTGAGTGATTTCAGTCAAAATAAAACGTTAATAAAAAAATATAAACTAAAAAAAATTCTTTTTCTGTAATCCGACTTGCTCCATTGCAAAATCAATTTATAAATCATTAAAAACGCCCCTAAATCAAGAAAATTCAACCTTCAGATCCTTAAAAAAGAAAATTTTATTTTGGGTTTTAAATATTTTAGACTTCTCTTGTTTTTTTGTTTTTGTTTTGTTTTTGTTTCCAAAATTAATAAATAAAAAACAAACAGTTTTAACAAATAATAAAATTTAGAATTTGTTTCTCAAACTTCTATGGGGTAGTTTGGGAGATCACGATAAGCAAATTAAAGAAGAAAGGTAAAATACATTTTTACACAAAATTACTTTTACTTAGAATCTGGAATACAATATTAAATAATAAAACAGTATTTTTTTGTATTATTTTGTGTAGGTGATTGTAAACAGATAGATGTTGATTCGAAATGCTTCAGGTATATTTTTTTTATTCAAAAAATGTGTAAATATTTATTTTAAATTTTTAGATTACACAATAAACATCTTTAGCTTCCAAATTTTGAGATAATGATCTCCTTCCTTAGAAAATCTGTTTGTTTATATGTTGAGAAAAACAAAATCAACTTTTCTAGTTAAAATTTTTAGCTGTTATTTGTTGATTTAAAAGCCGATTTCGTCGTACTTCATAATATTGAAAAATTCGCGGATTTGCTGTTCGATAATTCGACAAAAAGTTTCTTCTAAGCAAATTTTTTTAATATCAACTGTCCCTGGGCCTGTGGTCAACAAACAGACAACCCCAACAAAACAATTAAGACATTTTTTTTAAATTTCTATTCAAGGATCCAAAAAGAAAAATTAGTTTTTCTTCAAGCGGAAAACGATAACGTTTAATAATACTTTTTTAGCTTTAAAGCTGAAGTTTTAACTTTAATACCAAATAATAAAAGAATTAATATTAATTATTATAATAACGTAAAATTTATTTTTGTTTAAGAGGACCTGAGAAGGAGATAGTTCATGGAAGTCCATTTTCTCTTTCAGGCATTCTTGTTTGTAATACATTTCGTAAACAATTAGAAAAAGAAATTTAGAAACATTAAACCTTAAAATTATATTTGTTTTTAAAAGGGTCTGTCTGTCGGCGTAATTTCAAGAGACATCCCATTTTAATAGTTCTTGATTCTTGATTCACATGTTTAAAACGGTAATCTAAACCTATATCTATAATATACTTATTTCTAAATAACACTGATATCTAAGTAAACCTGATATCTCAGTAACACTGATGTCTTTCTAACACAGATATATATGTAACACTGATGTCTAAGTAACACTGATTTTTAGCTTTGTAACACTGCTGTCTGATTTTTAAGATAAATTAATGTCTAAGTAACACGGATGTCTAAGTAACACGGATGTCTAAGTAACACGGATGTCTAAGTAACACTGATATCTAAGTAACATTGATGTCTAAGAAACACTGATATCTAAGTAACCCTGATATCTCAGTAACACTGATGTCTTTCTAACACAGATATATAAGTAACACTGATGTCTAAGTAACACTGATATCTAAGTAACCCTGATATCTCAGTAACACTGATGTCTTTCTAACACAGATATATAAGTATCACTGATGTCTAGTTTAGTAACACTGATATCTTAGTGACACTGATAACTAATAACACTGATGTCTGACATTAAAGATAAATTAATGTTTAAGTCACACTGATGTCTAAATTAGTGACAATTCGGTCGTTTTCGAACAATAAAATCAATATGATATTTGGTAAATTAATTTCCTTATAGGAGCATAGTTTTTCGTCATAAACCTTTCTATTCCTTATAGCCTAACATGTTTACTGTAGCACGAGATTTTATTCGGTTGTTTAGGTCAATGAATTAGGACTTTTCATAGAAAATATATAAATTTTTCCGAAAATATATATTCTACCTACGACGTCTAACTTTTTCTCTTTTTATATATATTTAAAAACTTATTATTAAAAAAAAGTTATTTTATGTACAAGGTTGCCCACAAAAGATGAGACTTCAGAGATGACTGTAAGAATTTAGGATGCCTTTTTATGCTTATGGTAATCCTATTTAAAGGTTTATCCAGGAAGGATGAGTCTACAGTAAAGTTTATACGATTTGCAATCATCGTACGGTGCAGCTGAACTTTTTTTTTTGTCACATCATATTCACCATACAGGGTTACCCATAAAGAGTGAGACTAAAAGTGGTGGAAAATTTTATTGACAGATATTTATAGATTAACTTTGCATAATGAGAACATACCATGAATAGGACATTTCATAGAATACAAGAGAGGTTTTGATACAGAGGTAACCATAAAATAGTAGAGTCATTGTCGTCTCTATTCTTCCCCTTGATTATACAATGTTGATAAAAGTTTTTAATGTGTGTGTGTCCCAAAAAATCCTGATCAATATTTTATATATGGAAGAAGAAATGAAAACCCCCTCTATATATAGACAAGTTAATTTATTGCTGATTTCTAAAATTGTTTTATTTTTTCTTATATTTCATGTAGGGTTACAGGCAAATGACTTTTCTGCCTTGTCGCGGAGAGACCGTATATCTCTTAAATTTCTTTACTCGAAACATTGAATTTGAGTAGTTGAATTAAGAAAGTAATGTTGAAATTGAAATCTTATCCTTTAAGGGTAGCTCTGCCCTCTGGTATTGCTAATGTGTGTATGATTAACTTCGATCTTAAAGGGAGTGTTCGCGAAAAATGAAAGGGGGTATAGGCTTAATGCGATAAAAAAGCGCTTTTGATCGCTACTAATCTTACTTCTATCTGTTGCGTCTATAAGGAGAAAATTGTTAAAGACGTCTCATAAAAACAAGTTGTAAGCTAAATATTATTTTAAAAAACAAAATCAAAACTAGTATGAAATATCAAATATATACAAATGTGGCGAAAGATAATCGATGACTACAGGTTGTAATATCTGAATGATTTGTTCGATATTAATTTGATTTTTTTACGGTCTAAGTCGTATGTTCCAATTTCCTCAATTTGTATGGGCGCTACGCTCTTAGGTATGAGACGTCTTTATCAATTTTCCCCTTATAGACGCAACAGATAGAAGTAAGATTAGTAGCGATCAAAAGCGCTTTTTTATCGCATAAAGCCTATAGCCCATTTCATTTTTCGTGAACACTCCCTTTAACACATGGATTTTAATGCGACCTACTAGCAGGCTATTCATTACCTTAGCTGAAACTTAGACGGGGCGTCGATAATTAGATGTTAGGTTGGTTAGTTGGTAATATGGCTAGTTGGTTAGGCTCCTCAACTAGGACACAAAGTTGCAAATAATCAGGTAAACGGATATATTTCAAACCTACAAAAAAATATAGTAATTGTAAAATAAATGTCAATGTATAAATGTTATTGAAGGTTTGATTATATATCTTACTATTTAGCTGTGTCAGGATGATAAGGAAGGTTTAAAGGAGTATTTTAAAGCATTTGTAAATACTTCTAAAAATATGAACCCCGTTGTTTTAGTGGAATTTATTATTGATTGCAAAGTTATTTGTGGATTTGATTGTTCTCTGGCTAAAAGTTTCACTATTTGGTGTTTTCCTTGTGTTGGAGTATAGGTAAATTGCCTGAGTATTGCTTTGATTTGGATTTTCTCTGAGAGGAGGGGTTGGTTAAAGACGACATTGCGTGGTTGGTGGGGTGGGGGTTAGAAAGTAGATTTATGGTTAACAACCTTACTTATTCATCAGTAATCCCACACTAAAAATGTATAATATGGTAATGCGTGTTTTGAAAGTAAGCAGTTTAACTAAATATTTTGTTGATTCATTGCTTAATAAAATTTAGCATATTTTGTGAAAGAATAAAGTATAGAAATATTTATTCATAGTCATGTTGTTATTTAGTCATGTTGTTATTTGGTCAAAAACTATTTCGGCTGGTCCGAAAAGGTCTAAAATGACCTAAAAGAAGCCTTTTTTCCTGTTAATTTTAGAAAGTAAGATTTTTTTAGAAATTGTTAAGTATGCTATTCCGAAAATTTCATGCAGTTTGACAGGAAATTAATGCTGGAAAATTATATTTTTTAGATAAAAAGTAATAATGATGTCGTCATCAGTTTTGCTTTCACGAATTTTCAAATGTTTACAGTTGTAAATCAATCATGCCTCTCTTTCAATGGAACGTCACTAGAAATTAAGTGGCTCAACAAAATCTGAAGCTTATTCCGTCTAACAGAATTTTGGACCCATTTCTTTATAATAAATACCTATAAAACTATGGAATAGGAAGACAATTGTTTGCCATAATTTTTAAGATTCAATGAATAGGAAACAAAGTAATTGTGCAGTGTACCTGCACTGCCCCAATTTAATTAATATGTTGTAGTAGAGCTACTGGCAAATTCATTTGCTTTTCAGCAACATGAAATACACATTAAAGATAAATTAAATGTCGTCTTCCTTTTTCACAGTTTTGTGGGTTTCATGGTAAAAACAATGAATGTTTGAAGGGGTTTGTTACAAGTATACAGGTACTGCATCAACATATTTGAATAGACTCAAAATAATTATATAGATAAAAAAGCAAAACGTTAAAAATTAAAATTTAATAGATAACAAAAAAACACACATTTCTACAGGGTTACCTACGGCCAAAAAGGATAAGATTTCAAAGACGACTATACGAAATTTATGCTGTCTGTTTCCTTACATATATATGATTCCCTGCAACTGTAAACTGTAAATTTAAAAGGTCATAAAATTGGCATATTGAAAGAGTTTCAGGTTGTCTTTACGTTATCATCCTTCGTGAGTAACCTTGTATAGTAACATATAAAAATGCAGAAATTTGAATCCGTTATTTTTGAAACAATTTTATTTCTGAAAAATATGTGCTTTCAGATCGGTCCTTGGCACGAAGTGTATCTCAGCAAAAGGAAGGATATTTTGATAATCCCGGATTTCAGGGTTGTATAGATCCAGTCGGATTCAAGGGGTGCATGGATCAAGCCGAATTTAAGGGATGCACGGATCCAGCCGGATTCAAAGGATTTATGGATGTACCCGGACTCAAGGAAGATATGGACCCAGTCGGATTTGAGGATTGTACTGATCAATCCGGATTCCAAATACATCTTAGAAAATCTCGTTTCCAGAGAGGATGCCTAGATCTCTCCGGATGTCCTACAGTGCTGCTAAGTATAAATGAAAACTCATTAAGAAAAGAACAAAACGAAAATTTTGAAAAAGAAATGGAAAAAGAAAAACACGACATAAAACAAGAACAAGAAAAAAATTATAAGAAAACACAAGAACTGGAAAATAACCAAAAATATCTTGAAATTAAAATTAAGAACTTAGACAAAGAACCTGAGAATGAATTTGAATGGATCCAAGAGCAACAACAAAAACAAGGACCAACACAAGATCACAATAAAAAACAAGAGGAAGAAGAGAAAAATCAGAGACATGGAAAATCAAAAAAGCAAGCACCAAAACAAAGACAAGAAGAAGTAGAGGAACCAGAGCAAATTCTAGAAGAGAAAAAGCAGAAACTAGAGCAATATCAAGAACAAGAATAAGTACAGAAAAATAGAGTAAAAACCAAAAAAAACAAAACAATATACTTTCTAAACTATTCATGAATTCTGGATTATATAAATTTTCCCATTTATTTTTTAATGATATATATTAGTCTATTTCTCCCTCTTTTAACCTCATGACATGTATGGAATAAAGAAAAAAACATAATTTAAAAAAATTTTTAAATTCACAAATTGCAGATCGTCAATTTTAAATTTAGGCACTTATTTTTCATTGTTGCATTTAACACATTTTTAAAAAAGAGATGAATCATAGTGTCTACAAAATGTACTGGGTATTTTTCTGGCTTTATTTAATGTCCCCTGATTCTATATATAGGAAGATTGCATAGCGTGAAACATAATATTGATACAATATTATTTGTGTTGAATACAATAACAAATAATTTAAAAAAAATATTTCAGGGAGGGAAGACCCATCCTCAAATGTTGTATAATTTCAAATAAAAAAGTTATTAAATAAGTTTTTATGGATTTTCCACCCTATGTTTCCGCCTCAAAATTTATTTAAAGCTACTTATAGACATTCACCGTAATTGTTTTGTATTTTTTTTGCTCGTAAGAACGGGAAAAAATACTTTGTGATATAACTATATAACCCGGTTTAATGATAAGTAATGAATATATGTTAATAAACGTAAATTAATGTATCTCAGAATCTGCTCTTATTACATCTTTAAAACATGCAATGTTGCTCTGTTTTTTAAACCACATTGTGCATAGTGTTTGCAGCGAACGAAACGTTTCGCGAAAAATCGCTAAAAATTCGAAAATTTTCGTTCGCATTTCGCAAACTTTTTCGCGAAAAATTTTCTATCTTTTTGATGAATTTTTGCAAAAGTTTTGCATTTTTTAAAATTCTGTATTTTTTCGTGAAACAAATTTAAGTGAATTTTCGCGGAAAAAGCAAAAATTGTCGAATTTTTCGTGAGCGAGCGAAATGCGAAAATTTCGCGAAACCATTTTTCCTTTCCGCTGCAAACCCTAACTGAAAATGAATAAGTAAAAGCATAAAAACTTTTTTAATTAAAAAAATAGCCTTGTTTTGACTCTTTTTTCAGCCTCAATTCAATCATTTTCAAAATTGTTGTTGTAAGATTTTTGAATAAGAATATATAGCATAAATTTAAAAAATGAAAATATCAATGAAATTTTTGGGGGGGAAAATTAAGGAAATTTTTTAATCATTAAACTGAAATTTTGATAAGAATGCCACTTTAAATATTTTTTTTTATAAAAATTGGCCGGAAATCAGAATTAATCTTTCAGGGTTTGAATATTATTTTACATCTTTTGACTCTCACGTTGAAAATTGGAGTCAGGATGTGATTAACACCCCCCCTCTTTTTTCCTATTCTGAAGCTAACCTTTAGCTTTTCATCAACTTGTGGAAAGCCCTTCAAAAAATCTAAATTTTCAAAAATCCAAATATTTCTTGCGATTTTTTGTGACTTGGTGAAATATGAGAGATAAATTTTTTTGAAATTCTCTTGACCCAACGAATGCAAAATTTTGTATAAGCTTGGAGTGTATTGAAGAAAGCTAACATGTGCAAATTCCATTTATAAGTGTCTGTGCAAAAACGTTGCAAATTTTCTTTACAAAAATGTTCAATCTGCTTTTGTTAGCTTTCAAAAGAGCTAAAGATATTTGAAATAAAATGACTGAAAGTAGGTCTAAATATAGATTTAGTCTAGTACAGGTAAAATGAGGCAGTATATATGTATTGTTTTAGGACTCAGGGTCGAGAGGGGGGGATGGATAATTTGATAGGGGAGGGGAAATGTTTGTTTTTCTTAAGTAACTTTTACATTAGCATCAGCAATCTTTTCTATGTATCTAGTAGCTTGGGGAACTCGGCGCTGTCCAGGTTGCTTACTGTTACTCCCGCCGTTTACCCGAAAGTCATGAATTTTGCTTTGCTTCTCTTTTAAAGACGACCCATTCAACTTAGAACCTTAAAACCTAGCTAAGAGCATTCCCAATAAAAATTTCAAACAAATCGGACAGGGGTTCAAGAGTTATGATCGGTCATCCAAACAAATAATCAAACGCACAGAGGTTACTACTTTACAAATATATATCTATAAGGGTTAACCATAAAGGATGCGACTTTAATGATGATAAGCTGAAACTCTTTCACCATATTCCTACTTCCCAGAGACCCCTTTGACATTTCCCCCAAAAAGTATTGGTTAAAAGCTGTTGATATTTTTTTTACTTTTCTAGCCAACGCATATGGCCCTCACTTTAAACCAAAAGCTTGGCTTTTTTACCTTACTGCCTCACTTAATCTCTGAGCGTCTTTTAACAAAATTAACTTAAATAAGAAGAAATAAGGGGAAGTCTGGTTATTGATAAAATGGAAAACCAAATTTAAAAAATGACTGTGGCAATCTAAATAAGGAAGGAGGGAGGGAGGTTGAGGTTGGGTAGAGGTAGGGGAAGGTTGGGGGAGGTAGGAAGTGGGGGAAGTTAGGGGAGAGGGTAGGGGGTGGAGTAGATCAGTTGGTATAATCTGAGTTGAAAGTACGGACGAAGGGTGTGTTTTGGTTGAGCGGGAATTCGAGATTACATGAAAGGGAGAAAGTCAAGAGCTTTCTCCCGTTCAAGTAATAAACAGAGAGAGAGTTCAGTTCGCCTACTCATTCCGGCAGATTATATATATTTTATAGCATTTAATTTATCATCAATATTTCGTTAACGGATTTAAAAATATGAAATATACAGTTAAGCCATTCTTAATTTCAACAGAATAAAGTTTTTGCCTCTTTTTCATTTATTCGCTTTTTGTAACAAATCCACGAAACCCGGTGAATTAATGTAAAAGGTACAAAATATCTGTCCATTCTGTTCCAGCTGATCCAGTTTATTTTAATTTTGTGGATGTGTTGGAATTATTAAAATTCATCAATACAGAAGTATTAGTTTGACGTTTTTTGAAAGCCAATTGGAATTATATGAAATTTACATTATTTAGGATTTTTAAAATTTTTTTTATTAATGTTTAAATTAAATAATATATTTCTGTGGTAATGATAAAATATATGAAATATCAAACATAAGGAGATAAAATAAGTATGCATATTTAAAACTACTAGAGCAGGTATTTTAAGTATCGTTTATTTCATAAATCGTATGGTTGTTAATTTTTATACGGAACTTAAACAATCTAAAAATATTTCTAACATTCTTTTTGTATAATAATTTCATAAAATATTTGACTCAATAATAATATTATTGATTTTATAAAATCACTGAATTAGTTTAAAATCTGAAACATATTAAACTGATGGATTTAAACATTAAATTTAAATGAAACCACATTTATTTGATAAAATTGGTTGTTTTTCTTCATCTCATATTAGTAAAATTACATATGTATAAGTCATCTTAGATTTTAATTTAAATTAATTCTTAATCGTATTAATATTATATTCAGTAAAAACAGATTTAAACTTTTAACACTTGATCTTTAGACTTGATTTAAATTTATTTGATTTGAATAGTTTACTTAATTTTTTTCAAATATAAAAATAACACTTTGTGTGCATTTCTGGCTAGGATTGCTGAAGGGATTGTTGATACAATTTTAGACTACTATTTAGATGAAAGGTTTAAATCTTTGAACAACTGTTCGATTTGCATCATATCTAAAGCCTTTATCATGTAACATACATTCTGGTATCCATTAGTATAGTCATTTATCCTTCTTTCTTTTAAAAGTGACTTGTTCTATTTGATGAATCTCTCAACAAGGTTTCCATGTACTCTCAGTACAAGGGAACCCTGTACTGAGAGTACTGTAAAAAGGAAACTCTGTAATCATAGTACATAGGAACCCTGTACTCCAAGCACTGTAACAAGGTAATTTGTGCTACAAGTACTAGAACAAGGGAACCCTGTACCTATTATATTAGAACAAGGAACCCTGAAATCCTAGTACTGGAACAAGAGAACCCTGCACTTCTAGTGCTGGAATAAGGGAACCATGTACTCCTAGCACTGGAACATGGTAACCCTCTGCTCCTAGGAACAAGGGAACCCTGTACTGCTATAGTACTGTAACAAGGAAAACCTGTACTGTGCTTGAACAAGGAAACCCTGTACTCCTCTGGAACATGGTAACCCTCTGCTCCTAAGAACAAGGGAATCCTGTACTTCTATAGTTACTTTAACAAGGAAAACCTGTACTGTGTTTGAACGAGAGAAACCTGAACTCATAGTACTCTGCATGAACAAAGGACCCCTATACTTCTACTACTGTAACTAGGTAACCCTGTACTTCATGTAGTAAAATGAATACTAGTGTTAAACTACGGTGTACGTTTTGAGCCACTAGCCAGCGAGCTTGTTTTCTCCGGTTCCGTGTGATCAGTCGGGTCCGGTCTTTCCTAGTAGTTAAACCAAAACATACTCTCTCCATATAATTCAATCCTCTTCTCCCCATTCCTTGTCCTTGGCTTCCTCTTTTTCTATCAATATCCTCCTCCCCTTCTTACCTTTTCTCATCAGTACCCTCTCCTCCCTTTTTTGACAAATTACCCTCTCTCCCCTTTCCCAAAAAATACCCCTATACCCTATCCCACTCCTTAATTTTTCTTATTGCTGTGCGTCATGTTCTCTACCTAACGTTACTCTTTCTACGGAATGGAACATTTCTAAGATAAGTTTTAGATAAAAATACTGTACCCTTGCCATTTTCGCCCCTTCTCTCACACGGTCGCACCCACCAAGCCTCAAGCCCCTATGCATTTCACCCCTCCCCCCACTCCACATCCTTTTCAATACAATAAAAGTCTTACCCGAATACGTACCCCCTTAACCCTCAGGCACGTTTGTCCAGGTTTTTATTGGCTTTTGCCTTAAATTTGTAAAAATCTTCAGCATTCTAGAATTTTCATATATTTTCTGGGAACAGTGAAATTCATGAAACGACACGCTTGGATTTTTGTAACTTAAATATTTACAAAAAATTTAGCTTTGATGTTTAAAATTGTTTGATTTCGATAAAAATCTCGATAAAGGATATTCCTTACTTTCTGTGTTTCAAAATTTAAACAAAAAATATCGTTAAATCCCTTTTTTTCTGGATAACTTGAAAGTGATTGTGATAGTTCAGATGTGAGTGACTTTAATAAATAAGAAAAGTTTTACGAAGAGTTTTTACGACAATGGTGCAATTCTGCTAGAACTGCAAATTCCGAATGATCAAATGTACTTTTATCAGAGAATCAACTCTGTTTCAACATTAAACCTATTCAAGTGCAAGGCATCATTTATTTTAATATGGACCTTCAATTTAAACCTTTAAGATTTTGTAGTAGTAGTCCATTCAAGAAATTTAAAAAAGAAAGTTTATTTATCTTTTTATTTAAGATGACAGAAAGTTTTAAAACTTAAAAACCAAGCACTTTTCAATTAAGTGTTAAAAATAAGGAAGCATTAAAAGCTGTCAGAAGAACCAAAAATTGAAATTTACACCGGCATCTTTTCAAAATAATTATATAGCTGAAGGGCCCGACGTTGCCCGTGAAGAAAAAAAAAATGTAAAAAAATATTTTAAAAACAAATTTCGATTTTGTATTGCCTATTACACTCCCCGGCCACTCATGAGTGTCCACAAACAAATTCAGCCCAATCGGTTCAGCAGTTTGGCCGACTATACGCAACATATATAAATACGAATGTCTTGTTTTATTATATAGATAAAAATATCTAATAAAGTTTAATTAAATTCATAATCGAATAAAAGTCCTTAATGGGACTTAAATAATGAGTAACCATTCAATGTCAACTCCATTAAAACTTTTAATTGTTTTAAAAATTTTATCCTCAAGTTCATTACACATTTTTATCAAACGAAAGTAGCACAATAATTAGATAAAAAACATCTATTTATCAGTAAAATAATCTTTTTTAAAAATAAACAAGATTCGTTTAACTTTATATAAATGTGTCATATGACTATTTTGTACTACATTCATATTTCTTAAAACGCAAATCGAAGAAAGTAAAATCAAAATATACAAATATGTCGAAATCAAATCGGATATATTTGACATATTAAAAAAATGTTGTACTTTTTGCTAAAATTTTGTCAATTTACAATTGGAAAAAATTCATGCTAACTTAATTGTTTTTAAAGAAAACATGTTAAACCAACATCCAACATGAATCACACAAACTAAGTTTCTGGAAAAAAATTCTGTTTTTTTTGGGACACCCTGGTCTAGTTAAAGATAAGATAATGTGGCGGCGTGTGCTGAAATTGTTTATACAAAAAAATAAGTTAATGACAGAGATTAAATATGTGAATGTTTGTCTGTCTAAGTTAAGGGTTTGTCCGTTAAAGGTGTCAGCTAAAAATGTTATTTTAATCAAAACATCACAATGTAATATGTTGAAATTGATGGGTTCAACGAACCAAGAAATTCCTGATATAAAGGTTTTACTATTGACCTTAATAAACAATTAAATATAAAATGTGAACTGCTAAATCTGTTAAAAAGTACATGATTGAGAAATGCAAAATGAAATATTTATTTAAGATCTAGATGTTTATTATCTCCGTATCGAGATTATATTAAAGATACAAAATTGTTTATATTGATTTTACAAAAAAACTATTTTACGATAGTGGCATGTATATACATTTGTAAATTAATCAAGAAAAAATCCTTTAGTTTACGGATACATTTTTTCATTTTCTCTTTCCAAAATTAATGTTACATTCTTATTCTTACAAGATAGAAAAACTTTTTCTGGAATTTTGGACTATGGAATTTTTAGAAATGTTAAGAAAAGAGGTCTCTTTTTTATAGCTAGATTTTGTGAAATTTAAAGAACATCATTATCTATTCAAGTATTGACGAAACAGCAGTTCAAGAGAAAAAACTACATGATATATAATAAGATAGCATACTTGTACGCGATTTTTCTTAGAAATAAGACATACACGGTGTGTGTTATCGCTTATAGGAATATGCGACAAATAACTGTTGTGCATGTTTTCACATAAACATGCATGGGAGCGAGTTTTTTATATTAAAAATATTGTTGTTAGCTTCATTACGAGGAACATTGACGGTTCCTTGTTAATATTGAGGCTACATAATATAGGATAGTGGAAAAAACATTAAATTAAGAAAATGAAACATTCATAATAAGAAACATGTATTGCCGGTTTCCTTTTTTCTCCCAAACTACACATGATTTTTTACAAGGAAATTCTAAACAATTATTTTTGATGAAGTATAAAAATGTTTGAGAAACTGATTGTGAAATACTATGCACTGTAAACTCCGGAATTATATATACATTTAAAGTTTTCAAAAATAGGTTAAATTATAAATTTCAATTTAAACTTTTTTATTTTTGTAAATATATGTTGTGAAGAAACTTTAATGATGAAGTAATAAGTGAGGAATAAAATCTAAAAAAAGTCATCTTGCCCTCATACAAGTACAAATATTTTACTGACAAGTACTACACATAAAGTAAATATCTAAAATTTTGTGACAATTTGCTTCTGGCATATTGCCAAAAAATCGAAGAAAAATTATACTACGTATATACATGACCAATCTAACCATGGTTGATGGTTACTTACTAAGAGTGTAACCGAGAGGTCAGAATTGGTTTGCTGTTAATTACCCCCGAATTAACAGCAAAGAATGTCGAGTGCATTCATCTCCTTTTTGTGCAAACGGATAAGTTTTAGTCATCCCCCGGGGATCGTACCCTGCAGGTGTAACCAAGAAATATATAGACCAGGAACCGCCATATCTGATGCGTAAAATCTGTGTACTGCAGTGGGAGGAGATCAAAACAAAGAATTCAGGGGCAACGCATCATTTTTGAGGGAAAAGGGCCCAAGGGGTGGAATAAGAATATATTTCTATTGTATTTTCCATATTGACCAGAAATCAAAAATCATAAGTATTTGCTCTAACTTGATATATTTATAACTTGTTTTTTGTTGGACTGTAATATCACATCAGAGCTGCAGTCCTTTCCCTTCAACTTCTGTGGGAGCACTAGATTGTTTACATTCCTCCTACAGTGTACAGTACATAATATGCGTAGATCTGAGTTGGGCGTTCCTGTATATAGTTCCTTGGGTGTAACTAAAATTGATGAATCAAGCATTTATTTCTTGATATCGAAATTACGCGTTGTGTATTTACGCCATTTTTAACATATCTGAGCAGATTTCAGATTGGTTGGTTGAAACCTAGAATACCAGGATGCGGAGCTCGACTGGCAAGTTCTACGAGGAGGACGATATCCATGATGAGGAGGAGGGGGAGGATGATGATGATGAGGACAGTGATCTCAATTCCCCTCTCAAGCTAAGGTAGATATAAAAAAAAAGAATTTAGGGGCAAAACATAATTTATTTGACCATGAAGACATTTCTAATACTATTACTATTTTTTATTGTTCTCGCTTAAAAAAAACAGAATTTTCCATATTGATCTGAGGAGAGCCACAAACATATTTGAATAATTAATTAAACTAACTTTATCAACGAGTGTTTTATAGGAAGTTGTTTGTCATAGCACTTGTTTAAGTAAACAAAAGACATTTATCAAAGCTTTGATACTCCCCCTTTAGAAGTTTATCGATGCTCCCTGAAAGTACAGTATACAAATTTGAGTTAGACGTTCCTTGTATATATCTATCTATATATCTATCTATCTATCTATCTATACTACTATCTATCTCTCTAGAGCTGAACTGGAAAATCTTGATGAGGATGATTTCGCTGAGGTTCTAGTTCCAGCTCCTCCTGACGGAGGTAGATGAAAAAAATTATAATAGTAATAATAATAATAATAATAATAATAATAATAATAATAATAATAATAATAATAGTCAACAAGAATGGGTTTACACCCTTTGCTAATGGTGGATGTCAAAGTCTACTACAGTCAACGAGTATGGGTTCACAACCATTTCTAATGGTAGATGTCAAAGTCTACTACAGACAAATAGTACGGGTTCACAACATTTGCTAATGGTAGATGTCAAAGTCTACTATAGTCAACGAGTATGGGTGCATACCCTTTGCTAATGGTAGATGTCAACGTCTACTACAGTCAATGAGTATGGGTTCACACCCTTTGCTAATGGTGGATGTCAAAGTCTACTACAGTCAACGAGTATGGGTTCACACCCTTTGCTAATGGTGGATGTCAAAGTCTACTACAGTCAACAAGAATGGGTTCACACCCTTTGCTAATGGTGGATGTCAAAGTCATTGCCCGTGAAAAAAATTTGAAAAAAAGATTTTGAAAAAAAAAATTTCTAATTTTTTTTAGCCTATAACACCCCCCGGCCACGCATGAGTGTCCACAAAAACTTTCATCCCAATCAGTCTAGCATCATATATATATATGAATACGAATGTCTTGTTTTACTATATAGATAATAATAATAATAATAAAAATAATAATCTTCTTTAGGCTGGGGGTGGGTAATCTGTTTCGCCAGTTTTTTCTGTAACCTCATCCTGGACGGTATAGCATATTCATTCGGAGTCTTACTGGGACCCTTGGTCAAGTAAGTAATTGTCCCATGTTTTAAGTTGATGATGTTTTATACGATATTTTTCTTTCACTAAATTTGGCAATATCGATCCTGTAAACCTCTTGGTTTTCAAAATATGGAAACATTGTATTGTTTAGTCGTTAAATCTTAATGTTGAGTTTATTAAAATTATTTTACCGTCCCCCGTAAAAAGGAATAAATCTTTGCAATAAACTAAAATTTTCTAATCCCTGTATATTTGCAAACTTATATTTCTCAGGTCTACGTCATTTGGCTGCAAAGATAAAGGTATTAAAGATTCAGAGTTTGTGGTAAGGACTCAATTCCTTTTTTGGATTTGTTTATTTTCCTTTCTCCAGATTGGTGTTTCAGACCGCGAATGGTTTAATTAGACCAAGAAATATAAATTTAAGATACGCTTAATTTAAAGATTATGGTCATGTCCCAAAACCCCGTGATAATTTCACCAATTATATATGCTTTTATGCTTTCAATGCATCTCTCCCCCCTCTCCTCCAAAATTATTTTTGTATGCTTAAGATTATCATATTTCCTGCAAAACTATGCAAATATGGCGGGATTTTTAAGAGAAATAATTATCTTTGCAAAATTTAATTAATTAATCATATCTGCAAAATAAACAGGGCAAAGTCAATATTTGTGTGGCCACTGAAAATTTCATATATATATTATATATAGATTTAAAAAGTACCGTTTTTAACACATTTTTTATTATTTCTCAAAAATAGAAATACAAATTTTTTGACCATTTTCCCACGTAATTTTTTAATTTTTAAAACCTTCCTAGCATCCTGACCCTAAATTAGAGGTGTATTTTTTCAATGAATGCAAAATCATAGGGGAGGTTTCGGGTGAAGAACATTCCATCTTTAGTATACCAAAATAGTAAAATCCCGCGGAATATATTGCAATATGAGAACATTACTATGGAATATATTGCAATATGAGAACATTACTATGGAATATATTGCAATATGAGAACATTACTATGGAATATATTGCAATATGAGAACATTACTACGGAATATATTGCAATATGAGAACATTACTACGGAATATATTGCAATATGAGAACATTACTACGCAATTTAAATTTTTTAAAGATAACTTTTGCAACAATTTTTCTGGGCACTGTTATGTTATCCCCGACATTTTGTTCTAACGTTTTAGCAAAATATTCGCTTTTTTGAAATACCATTGGTCGTTTGAGATATTCTTAGGTTTTATCTAACCGTGTATACATATTTACATATTTAGATCATGCAGTACAGATAAAACACTTGCTGTCGTCTTTTCAAGATTTTGAGGGTTTTCGTTCACAATAACCCTGAGGCAGAAGTCCAAAGGAGTTACGAGCATGCGCTCTCTCTGTCTTGTAATTCAACGCGGCATGCGCGTAACTCCTCAGGGCTTCTGCCTCAGGGTTATTGTAAACGAAATAACCCTAAACCTTAAAAGACGACATCTAGTGTTCCATCTGTAATGTTACTAATCTTTGATTTAGATATTTTGATTCTGATGCTTCAACTGTATCCTGGGTTGGAAGTATTCTTTGTGGAGTTTATCTTATGTCAGGTATTTACAAGGATAAAAAGGGTCAAAACTGAAATTACAGTTAACTGTTAAGGTCAATGTTAAGGGCTAGATCAAGGTCAATGTCAAGGTCTAGATCAAGGTCAATGTCAAGGTCTAGATCAAGGTCAATGATAAGGTCTTAAGGTCAATTTCAAGGTCTAGATTAAGGTCAACGTAAAGGTATAGATCAAGGTCAATGTCAAGGTCTAGATCAAGGTCAATGTCAAGGTCTAAATCAAGGTCAATATTAAGGTCTAGATCAAGGTCAATGTCAAGGTCTAGATCAAGGTTAATATCAAGGTCTAGATCAAGGTCAATGTCAAGGTCAATGTCAAGGTCTAGTTCAAGGTCAATGTCAAAGTCTAGATCGAGAATGTGTAATATGAAAGTTTTTCAAAAATATAGGACCAAGCTAGAGTCAAGTAGAAACTTTAAAAAAATGTTTATCAAAAATCAATTCAGAAAGATGGCCAATACAAATTTGAAAAATATTCTAAAAATCTTTTTCTAGGACCAATTGTTGGAGGGTTAGTGAATAAGTACGGCTGCAGACCAGTCTGTATAGCAGGTAAACAAAGTTCACAATGATCCAAAGGTTGCAATTGGTCTCGCGCAAAAATTTATGATAATTTTACAAATTTCCTTTTTGAAACTAAAGCACAGGCAGCTCAATCTTTCCGTTATTTTAAATATTTAAGTTTTTTAGTTTTTAGGGTACTCAGAAATATCTTCGACGCCCAGCTTTGTCTGGAAACTAAAATTTCTCTGCAACTTCGAATTTTTAACAAAGTTGACAACATTTCAGTAGTACTACCGAATGATATTAAGGTCGAATGTTTACTACTTGGATCCCTGCAAAATTCCTTCGCAGAAGTTCAACCTTGGCTACGAAAGTTGTGCATTAAATTTTACTGTCGGATCAACTTTAAAATGCGGTGACACATTCGCCTTTTTATTCACCTCACTTATTTAATCAGATTATCCTATTTTAATACTGCACAGAGGTAATTTCTGGAAATACTTTTGATAAATACTCGGCAAACGTTGCAGATGTTGGTTCACAATTAGCTTTTTCGCGATTAGCTTTTAGATTTGTTTGTGTAGAATCTGGATTAACCCCTGAACATTTCAGGAAGTTTAATCGCCGGAACATCATTTGCTATCTCTATCTTTGCCCCTAATGTTCCGACTCTGATGGTGTTATACGGAGTTTTCGGCGGTTTTGGATTAGGTAAGATCGTTTATTAACCTGGTTTATGGTTTATCGGGGAAAAGTTCGGCGGTTTACGACTATGGTTAGAGAAAATTACCGGCGATTATACTTAGACTAGAAAACGTGCGGGTTTTAAACTATGGTGATAAAGGTACCTCATTACTACGGATCTATTTCAGGCGAAAGCCCATGGACACTTTTTGATTGCTTTCGGCATGAGACTTTGATGATTTTGGGCGGGTTTCCATTACAAAACTTGGTGACTTCTGCTGTACAAATCTAGATTGTGAACTACAGTTTCAGCAGTACAAATTCTGCAGTACAGTTTCTATAGTATATATTCTAGAGTACAGTTTCTGCAGTTCATATTCTACAGTACAGTTTCTATACTCTATATCTACAGTACAGTTTTTACAGTAAAGATTCTACATTACAGTTTCTACAGTAAAGATTCTACAGTACACTTTCTACATTCTATATTCTACAGTACAGTTTCTACAGTAAAGATTCTACATAACAGTTTCTACAGTAAAGACTCTATAGTAAAGTTTCTACAGTTTATATTTTAAAGCACAGTTTCTACATAAAGATTTTACAGTACAGTTGATTTAATAAAGATTCTACAGTACGGTTGGTTTCTACAGTAAAGATTCTACGGTGCGGTTTTGTCGTTCTTTCTATAAAACTGGCCTAAGTATATTTTACAAAGTGTGTCTATTCATTGCTTAATCTAGATATTTGTAAGAACTGAGATTTTATGATTTCTCTTGAAAGAACTGTTATTGTTATTTCTCTGAGATTAAGGTTTCTAGTTAATCTGCAAAATAGATCCTGGAACAGTTGAAAGAGAATACCTTAGACAAATAAGTTTAAAATACAATAGTTTTAAGAAATTAGTTAGAATTACTTCACAAATTTAGTTAGACATATCTAAGGATACAAACATTTGTTTTGGATCTAGCTTAGCTCCAAGGAAATTCCATATCCAGTGGATAAACTTTTAAATTGAGGTTTTACTCCATTCTTCAGGAGAAGTTCTCACTCACGGAGTTTGGGAAAAAATCTTTATCATCAGAGTCCTATCGGATACTCCCAGATTTTCATTGGAGTCCCCAGATTTTCATTGGAGACCTTAAGCTTTTCATCGGAGACCCTAGATTTTCATAGCTTATAATTGAAGACCCCAATCTTTTCATTGGAGATTGTATATTACAAATTTAAAACATCCACGTTTTACTCTCAGAAATCAAATGAATACATCAATAATAAATCAAATAAGCTGACTGCCTGATCACTAAAAGTAATTTAACTTTTTTAAATAAATTAATCTTAATAATTATATTCTAATTACTGTTTTAGGTTTGGTTTACCTACCTGCGGTAGTTGCTGTTGGATATTATTTTGAAAAGAAACGTGCTCTCGCTACAGGTTGGTTTATAGTGGGGAAACTTTTCATGTGTGTTTAAAGGAATAGCTTTCTAGAATTCCTAAAGGAATAGCTTTCTAGAATTCCTAAAGGAATAGCTTTCTAGAATTCCTAAAGGAATAGCTTTCTAGAATTCCTAAAGGGATAATTTTTAGGATTCCTAAAGCTAGAGGTACTTTTTTAGGATTCCTAAAGGGATACTTTTTTAGGTGGATTTAAAGAGATTCATTTTAAAGCGGGTATAAATTGGAAAGTATTTTAGGTAGGTAAATAGGAATTATTTTTCAAACGGGCGATAAAAATGGATAGTTTTTAAACAGTTTAAACAAAATGTATACTTTATACATGGAAATTCGATTTGAAAGTGGGTAGTTCTAAAAAGTTTATTTCATAAGTTAAAAAAAACTTAAAATTTTAAATATTTTAATATTAAAATAAGCTCATTGAATTATAATTCTGAATATAAAGGTATATCTGTGTGTGGATCTGGAGTAGGAACCTTTATATTTGCTCCGCTTGCTTCTTTCCTCCTAGACACCTACGGGTGGAGAGGAGCAAACCTTATCTTTGCTGCTTTATGCTTCCAGTGTGCGGTAGGTGGATTTAAAGGGACTGTATACGTGAAATTAAATGACTTTTCATTTAAAAAGTTACATGCGCGTTTTATCCTTTAAAAATTTATCTTGATAACAGTAAGCACTAATGCTCATATGTAAAAACGACCATTTGAAGGATTAAACAGAACTTATATTCTATATATTGAATAATCATTAAATGAATTAAGACGAACATTCGAAGAAAGTTCGGGTATACAGTTTTACTAGTGACTTATTAAGTGAAATTGTTCTGTTTACACTACACACTTTTTTATTGAACTTATTAAGTAATCATTAAGTAATAACTTAGGGGTCTAAATGCCGTCTTCCTGTTCCAGAGTTTTCTTGTGCTTACTCAACGAAATATTGGAAGAATGCTAACAGAAACAAAACATATTACATTGAAGAACTTAAAAACGAACAGTCAGATGGTTATAAACCAACAACTTAGGGTACAGACGAACTAAAAAGACGATCATGAACAGAAGGTTTAAAATAAACAAGGGTGTAGACGAACAGACAGACGATTTAAGCACAAACATAGTTCGTGTATGAACACAAAAATTTAATTTAAATTTAGTTTCTGATTTTAAAAAAATCTAGATTTTCCGTTTTAAAATAGTTGTTGAAATAATTGTTTTTCATTTCAGAACTTGGCCAAAATAGGAATGTTTATTAAAAGCAAATATAAAACTAAGACACCAATAAAAAGTGTTTGTTTAAAGTTCTTTTTGGTCATTTGCTAGTTCACGCCAATTTAACTACAGTGAGTCCTATAAAACTGTTATTAACATGTAGAAAGACTATATTTTAGCAATTTTATGAGTATTTGATGCTATTATAAAGCAAATAGTTGTACCATTTAATTGAAAATCAACAATTGGGTTGCAGTATTTAAAGTCAAAACCTGAGTTTAATAGTGTTTCTCATCGTTTTCAGCGCTCATCAACCTGTCAGTTATTTTATTTTATTGATCATCATATTTTTGTTTTATTATTTTGTTCTAAATTTGTTTTTAGAGGAAGTCCTCTCATTGCCAAAAAATCAATTGCTCTGTTTATTTATATTTAATGTATTTTGATATTATCTTACCTCATCTATGAACACTCAAGGCCAGGTCGCTTCTGACTCTGCCCGCCTCTGTCCTCCTTACCTGTAGTTGAATTTGGCGAAAGGATTAAGTATGTATTCCTCTACCAAACTGTATGGTTTTCCCTTACCCTGGTGGATCTGAATACTTGCCTCCTGAGGTCGACCAGCCTGTGACGGTACCTCTGACTTTTGTAAGAATAGTTTTCAGGTAGGCTGGTCGACCTGGTTGACCTACCTGTCTTGCTATCTGCTAGGTTAAGTCGGTCAACTCTGCTGACCGGCTCTTAATAGTTTGTCGTCAGCCGGTCAACCTGGTTCCCCCTGGCCGGTGAACCCTGTTCACCGGCCCTGGGTATAGCAACCTGAAGGACCCAAAGTGAAGAGAGGGTCTTTTCCCCTCTTCTGAAAGATATCTTGTGAAAGGGAGGAGGGCGGGAGCGCGAAAAGAACGGAGCTTAAATTTAGCTTCGTTTGTACAAACTGTAATGGCTGCCCCCTGGCCTGGTTGCAGCGCTCGAGGAGCGCAGCGGTTGGACTTGGTACTAAAATGGTGTTCAGTCTGTTCCTATAGATTAAAGTAAGATAATATCAAAGCCTCTAAAACATTGTTCAAGATCTCAAAAATAATTCTAACTTAATTCAGGTATTTGGAGCTTTGATGCGTCCTCTTCAGCTAACAGTACAGATGGATGAACAGGACGCAGAGGAAAAATTCACACTGAACCTTCCAGACGGAAGTAGTCAAAACCATGTAATTATTATCCTATCATTATTACATTATTATTATTACTACTATTCTAATTAATATTATTTTTACTATTATTATTATTATTATTATTATTATTATTATTATTATTATTATTATTATTATTATTATTATAAGTATTATTATTGTTATACTATAATATTTTTATAATCTTAATCATAATAATGTTAGACTGCCATGAAAGATGATGGGGAAGTGAGTACTGTGCCATCCCTCCATATCGACCAGGTTAAAAACATAACATGTTTAAATAAAAAATCAATTAAACCCAAAGTTAGAACATTGGACCTTCTTAAATTTAGTGTCTAAATTGTCAAATGTCTTACATTGGAGAAAAAGATCTGTATTTGATTATACAAATAATATTAAATCAACCTTTTTTACGCCTTAAATAGTTTTAGATAGTTTTTAAAAGCTTTTTTGTTAACATTTTTATTGATATTTTTAAAAATGTTTAAATTGACCTTAACCAGGCCATCACTTCCTCACCATCCCATAGACTTCTACCCCTAACCATGATTGAACTACCAACCATAGCGGAACAGGTTAATCTTAATATTCTTTATCTTAATCTTATTCTTAATCTTAATTCTAATCTTAATCTTATCCTTGATCTTATTCTTAATCTTAATTCTAATCTTAATCTTAATTCCAATCTTAATCTTATCTTTGATCTTATTCTTAATTTTAATTCTAATCTTAATCTTATCCTTAATCTTAATCTTAATCTTAATCTTAATCTAAATCTTAATCTTAATGTTAATCTTCATCTTAATCTTAATCTTATTCTTAATCTTAATTTTTATCTTTATCTTTATCTTTATCGTTATCTTTATTTTTATCTTAATTTTAGTCTTTATCTTAATCTTAATCTTAATCTTAATCTTAATTCTTAATTTTAATCTTAATCTTAATCTGAATCTTAATCTTAATCTTAATCTTAATCTTCATCTTCACATTAATCTTAATCTTAATCTTAATCTTAATCTTAATTTTTATCTTTATCTTTATCTTTATCTTCATCTTTATCCTTATCTTTATCTTTATCTTTATCTTTATCTTAATTTTAATCTTAATCTTAATCTTAATCTTAATCTTAATCTTAATCTTAATCTTAATCTTAATTCTTAATTTTAATCTTAATCTTAATCTTAATCTTAATTGTAATCTTAATCGTATTCTTAATCTTAATCTTAATCTCAACCTTAATCTTAATCTTAATCTTTATCTTAATCTTAATCTTAAACTTGATCTTAATCTTAATCTTAACCTTAATCTTAATCTTAATCTTGATCTTAATCTTATTCTTAATTTCTATCTTCATTTTAATCTTATCTTAATCTTATTTTTGATTTTCATCTTAATCTTAATCTTAATCTTAATCTTAATCTTAATCTTAATCTTAATCTTAATCTTAATTATGACGTGTATCCTTTATATTAGTCCGTCACAGCTAATACAACGACTACAGAAGACTACAAGTCGGTACAGGTACATCCCTCCCCCAACACTCATCCCGGCCCCCAAATCTTCACATTCCCTTTCTACGTTATAAACACTCTCGACCATCTAGATTTGTCTGTGAAGAAATGTGTTAATCATTAATCATTGTGCATTCTTGCAAAACATAAATTCAGGCCTTTAGACCTACTATCCTAGACTACATATACTAAATACATTGACTAAAGACTAGAAATCAAAGATTATAGATTAGAGGCTAGAGAATAAAGACTAGTTAATTGAGACCAGAGGATACTGTAGAACAGAGGAGACTGGAGACTAGAGGAGATTAGAGACTAAAGGAGACAGGAGACTAGAGGAGACTGTAGACCAGAGATTAGAGACTAGCGACTACTAAAGGCTAGAGACTAGATACTAAAGGCTAGAGACGAGATACTAAAGGCTAGAGACTAGATACTAAAGGTTAGAGACTAGATACTAAAGGCTAGAGACTAGATACTAAAGGCTAGAGACTAGATATTAAATGCTAGAGACTAGATATTAAAGGCTAGAGACTAGATACTAAAGGCTAGAGACTAGATATTAAAGGCTAGATACTAGATACTAAAGGCTAGAGACTAGATATTAAAGGCTAGAGACTAGATACTAAAGGCTAGAGACTAGATACCAAAGACTAGAGACTAGATGGTAAAGGCTAGAGACTAGATACTAAAGGCTAGATACTAGATATTAAAGGCTAGAGACTAGGTACTAAAGGCTAGAGACTAGATACTAAAGGCTAGAAACTAGATACTAAAGGCTATAGACTAGATATTAAAGGCTAGGGGCTAAATACTAAAGGCTAGAGACTATACAATAAAAGTTAAAGACTAAAAACTAGATACTGAAGACTAGAGTTTGGATACTAATACTAGATATTAAAGCCTAGAGACTATAGAAACTAATATCTAAAAACTTGATACATGTTCTAAAATTCAACCATTACCAGCAAAATCTCGCTAACAAAAATCAACCTCCCCTCTTTACACCTCCCTCTCTAGCCTTAGCAAAATTATAGTGGCGTGGTTTGTATTTTGCCCTAAGCCTGAAGCCCAAAGGAAACTAAAGGTTTCTGTTAAACAAAACATAGTTAGATAGATAGTTAATTATATAGATATCGAAGATAGATAGATCGTGGAGTATAAAGATAGATAGATAAGAGATTGGAGTAATTTCAACGCTTTATTTAACTCAGAGGATTTCATACTTTCTGTTTGATCAATTCAAGGAAGTTTATAAAACACAAGAAATTGAAACGTATTTACTTTGGAAAGAAATGTAAAACTTGCATGGGAGGGGGAAATTAATCGCTTTCACCAAAAATAAAACAACACTAATAATTTGATATACTCACACACAAATCACAATGTGACAACCCAAGTAACACATACAAATACAAAACCATTTCCCACAGCAAACAAATATTTAGACCAAACATTCTTTTCGTTTTTGATAACATACTCATAGATCTTTTTTCAAAGAAAAGAGTAATAAAGTCCTTTTATGGCATAGAATTCGGCAATTCTTCAATTTAAATTGTAAATGGAAATTAAGTCCCAATATATGTCTTTAAATATCTGCTTTGCAAATGAAAAAATATTGTTAAGGTTTTTTATTTTCCCATCCTTATATCTTTGCAACTTGATGATAAGCATTTTCATAATTTAATCTAGAAGTATTCATATTATTTGAAATAATAAAGATTTAGGGCTGCAATACTATAAGGATTAGCAAACTGGAGTGGAGAGTAATAATTTTTTTGGACAAAACTCTTCATTTTTCTATCAATTCAAAGAAAACAAAGAGTTAATGCCGCGACTGAAAGGAAGACTTTTAATGTATTCAGGACGTCTTTCCGAGTAAGCTGCCGGCTAGGAAAAGATCTAGAGTTAGAACAACCTCGGAATCCACAACTCAAAAGTTTGTGGTCTCGGCGGTTAAATCGCCGACAAAAGAAAAGGTTAGAATTCGTCCTTAAAAACAGTAAGAACACAAAAACCTTTTTTTAAACCCTTATTGACGCCTTGAATGTCTTTAATTTGTAACAATTGCTTACAACACAAAAACAATTTGCATATTTTAAAATTAAAATTTAAAAAGTACACTTTTTAAAAGATTGAATAAAGAATATTTTTAGAATTAACAGAATTGATCTCTGAGACATTTTCAACAATATTTATCTCCATATTTTTTTTGGTAAAAATCTTAATACTAATTTCCATGACTCGTTTAGTTGTCATCACTGAATTTCATAAATCCTGTATTAATTCTAATAATAGTGTACGAAATAAACATTTAATAATGATAATAACACTTTTATTTTATCTAGGAAACTAAAATGACAAGAAACCAGTCCGCGCCACATTTTATGATTACTCATCGTAACTACAGTACAACATTCACTCCACTACCCAGGTTATACAATATTTACATGTACAACATTCACTCCACTATGCTACCCAGGTTATACAATATATACCGTACAACATTCACTCCACTTCCCAGGTTATACAATATTTACATGTACAACATTCACTCCACTATGTACTACCCAGGTTATACAATATTTACATGTACAACATTTACTCCACTATGCTACCCAGGTTATACAATATATACAGTACAACATTCACTCCACTATACTACCCAGGTTATACAATATACACAGTACAACATTCACTCCACTATACTACCCAGGTTATACAATATATACAGTACAACATTCACTCCACTATACTACCCAGGTTATACAATATATACCGTACAACATTCACTCACTACCCAGGTTATACAATATTTACAGTACAACATTCACTCCACTATACTACACAGGTTATACAATATATACAGTACAACATTCACTTCATTACCCAGGTTATACAATATTTACAGTACAACATTCACTCCACTATACTACCCAGGTTATACAATATATACAGTACAACATTCACTTCACTACCCAGGTTATACAATATTTACATGTACAACATTTACTCCACTATGCTACCCAGGTTATACAATATATACAGTACAACATTCACTTCACTACCCAGGTTATACAATATTTACATGTACAACATTCTCTCCACTATACTTCCCAGAGCCCAAAACTTAAGACAGGGTATCGTTATGAAAACCAGTTTTGGAACCTGGGTTTCACAAATGGGTTTACCCAGTTTTGTAGATATCGATATTTTTGTTTTGAAATATTATTTTATTTAGTTTCTTCATATTTTACCATTTTTTTCTAATCTATTAAATCAAAATCTACACAAATAATAAGACCCCAAAAAGGAAACCCGGGAGTTTTGTTCAACGATACTCTTTTAAATTTTGGGCTCTGGTTATACAATATACAGTACAACATTAACTCCACAATACTACCCAGGTTATACAATATATACCGTACAACATTCATTCAACTACCCAGGTAATACAATATATACAGTACTTTAGCAAGAAAGAACGATATAAATAAACAGAAGTCCAAGAAATCGCCAGGTGTGGACCTCTGTAGAGCAGAGACAAATGAGGTTTAGAAGTGTCTTATCTGACTAAAAAATGGGTTGACCGGAGCAAACTTGGAGGAACTGAACTTGGAGGAACTGAACATGGAGGAGCTGAACATGGAGGAACTGAACATGGAGGAGCTGAACATGGAGGAGCTGAACATGGAGGAGCTGAACATGGAGGAACTGAACATGGAGGAACTGAACATGGAGGAACTGAACATGGAGGAGCTGAACATGGAGGAGCTGATATGGTGATGAGGCGGATCAACAGGATTATTCTTTGTAATCTGTTGGATTCATTGAAGATACTCTGGAGAAGGGAGCTCAGGACTATCCATGAACTCGTATGGTAGAACTATTGGAGAACCAAACACAGCTTCAGACGGAGAAATTGACGAATCTTCTCTGGGAACACTTAGAAGGCCAAGTAGAACCGGATGAAGATGATGGAAACAATCAGACCCAGCAAGTTGAGCATGGAGGGAAACCTTGAGTTGATGATGGAACCTCTCCACAATTCCGTCAGATTGAGGATGGAAGGAAGTAGTAGGAGTAGGAGAGTGAGTTATTCCAAGGAACTTACAAAGTGCAGACTTTACAGAGCTTGTGAACTGGGCTCCGCGATCAGAGATAATCACTAATGGTACTCTGAACAGAGGAATTCACGAGCATAGGAGGACTTTAGCACAATCTTTTGCTGTAGTTAAGTGAAGAGGAACTGCCGCTGGCCATCTGGTTGAACGATCAATGAAGGGTAAGAGGTTGGAGAACCCAACCAAGTCCCCATGAATATGAGAGAACCTCCGTCCAGGCACCAAAATGAACTGGAGACTTCACAATCACATGACTCTGGACATTACCCCAGGAAACCAGTCTTCGGAAAGCACATTTACCCGGATAAGAAACTTGGTGGACGGAGTCAAACATTGCTCTTCTCCTAGGCTCTGGAACAAGGGGACGGTGGACACCTGTAGAGACATCACAGAGTAACCCAGGCAAGCCAGAGACGGAATGGAGACAATCTTCAGCGCGGAGGACTTCAACAGTCTTTGACTTTAGGACAAGACTGTTGACGTTTGGACATTTCTACATAGGATATTCCTGGAACTTAAAGCAGAGTAGGCAGAGACAGTGTAGATAGAACCTCAACTGTATCTGGATCAGGACCAGGACGGGAAAAAGCATTAGATACCAACTTCTCTGCATCAAGGAGATGGCGGATATCACTGAACCTAAACTGTAAACCTAAACTCTAAACCATAACTCTGAACTCTGAACCTAAACTCTGAGACTAAACTGATTCTATTAATCTCACCAATAAATTTGACACTATACCCAATACCCATGATCTTGTTCTGAACTAACTTTACCTGAATATATTTCCAGGGTTGGATCTCAAGCTGGATATTCTTCAACAGGTTCAGGATCTATTTCACAAGTAAGATCATAGCATTAATAAAGGGACTGCTAACGGAGTTTCATGTGAATTTACAGAGTGCCGTGTTCTATTAAAAAAAATACCCGTTAACCCTCTATCTGAGAAAAAACATGAGGAAAATATGATTTTCTATCTTAAATCATGCTTTATTCTGACAGTTTCCTACATCATTTCTGTTGCAAAAATCTATCTGATTGTCAAAGAAGCAAAGATTGAAAATTATTGCTTTTCAGAGAGACAAATAAGAATATATTATTCATCCATGAGCAGATAAAAGGCTATGAACACTGTTGTGAAAACCTGTTTTAATCTGTTTGTGCGAAAGGTAGTGAACGAAGCTTGATAAAAAAAGCTTAGCTTGAATGTTTTATTTTGTATTAAACACTTTTAAAATCAAGCGTACAGGGACCGAATTTAATGAATTTGAACTGTCTACCGTCGATGGTTCAAATTTGAATAACCAATTCAAATCCTCCTTAATCTTTAACTTTAAATCGTAGGTTCAAATTTGAACCGGCCGTTGGTAGTTCAGTGACGTAGCTCGAATTCATTAAATTCGATCCCGAATGTTTAATATGTGTTAAATAGACGATATATCAGATGTTTATTACTTGGGACGTATGCTAATTTCTGTTTATTAGCCGTAGATGTTCGAAGCAGATGTTCATTACTTGTTGATGACTGAAGCGGATGAATTATATTTGTAACCCGAGTTGATTTCTATTAAATTTAGATGACCGGGGTAGATGTTAGGCGGAGCACCACAAAGCTGGCGGTGAGGCCAATGGCCCGGAAGGATATTTTTTACACTGGATCCGTGATGGCCCTGCAGGACGAACAGGAGGAACAGGACGGCAGGTTTACTAACAGTAAATCTCAGGTGAATATTTCTCAGCTTTTCCGTCTTAATTCTTGATTTGGTGTTTTTGGAGCAGATTTTTAATATTTCTCTTTTCAGGCTTCCTTCAAGGGTTTGAAGGGAAATAAACAGAGTTATGCCTCTATTTCTGGTCTAAGGAAAGTCGTCCTTTATTTTCTAAAAGTAATGAAACATTAAAAAAAAAATACTAAACTCATGAACTTTGTTTTTATAAACGACGAATATTTCTAGATCTAACAAACAGAGTTTTCTCAGTATACATAGGTAATGGATAAAAGTAATAATAATAATAATAATAATAATAATAATAATAATAATAATAATAATAATGATAATAATGATTATTATGAAACAGAGGAAGCCTAGTAAACAGCAGCTTAGCTCTACCAACCATTGTTGAGGGAAAACGTCGAACCAGTTTTAGTGTTCGGTCAACCCAATCAGAAATCATTATTGAACCAGGTCAGGTTTAAACCAAATAAAAGAGTTTTGATCAATTGTAAATTAATAAAACAATGAAGTAAAAGAGGGGGATCGATAACAAAGTGATTAAATACTTAAGTGGGCCAAACTCATTTTATGTCCCAAGTACTTAAAAATAATACATATATATAAATTGGTCTGTACGCGGAGTGTACAGTACAACAGAAACTGGACTCCCTTTGTTTACAAACACTGACTTAGAATTTGAATTTAACTTGATTAAACAGTTTACAACAGAAACTGGACTCTCTTAGTTTACAAACACAGACTTAGAATTTCTATTTAACTTAAATATAGATTAACGTAAATTAAGATTTCAGATGTTAATTTTAGACATTTTACTGCACAATAATATATTTCAGACAGCACAATAATGCCTGCATGCATAATCTGTAAAACAAGTAATGCAGAATTTGCGATACCGAAAAATGATGATCTTCGAAATATATCTCTTAGTCTTCACTTTTGTATTTTGACAGATTTATGAGTCTTTGATAACTAGACATAGTTTTAAAGATATTAAGAGAGTCGTATTTAGGCCAAAACCCCCCAAATAGATGTGTTTAAGAAATTTACAAAAATGGAAAAAAGGAGTGAGATTTGAAAGAACAAAACTAAGTAGTTTGAGATAAATTCTTATAGAATTAGAAGTGCCAGGTAAAATCAATGAATTGATTAAGCGACTATCTATATATAAATTTTGCTTGTCTGTCTGTTTGTTTGTTTGTTTGTATCCAATAAACGTCAAAACGGCTGAACCGATCGGGCCCAAATTTTTTGTGGGACCTCGACACGTCACCACAGGGAAGGTTTATGAATTGATCAAAATTTCAAATATTTGTCTCCATCAAAATTCGATCTTCATTAAATTTTTGAAAATTTTGAAAATCCACGAAATTTTTTGTGAAAATCCGCGAATTATTTTTGTTTTGTTTTACTATGTACACAAAGAGAACATGTTCACAATTAATTTAGAAGATGGGCGCGAAGCGCCCTCTAAGGCTAGTTTAGTACATTTACATAAAAACTATATACAAAATTCAAAATTTATTGATTTTTAATTATGAAAAATATTAAGTTCTAACTGAAGACGACATTTACGTGGCTCTTAAGTCTATTTTTCATGCAATTATTTCCAAACCAATTAAAACCTTATGGCCCAACCTGTCGTCGTTGCCTTAGTCTGTTCCACTTTAGTATTTATTCACTTTGGATCGATCACTGCATAAGTTGACAAGAATAAAAAGTTCAAACTTGTTAAGATAAAAAAACGTTTAAACGAGATCAATCTTGATTTCTTTCAGATGGTGGCATGCTGGTGGCTTTAAAAGAAATGATGAACTTCAAACTTTTAAAGGTAACTTTGTTGTTTCAACATCTAAACTTATTCTATTCTGATTCTAGAAATTAGTCTTTCAATTTTTAAAGGGATTTTTTGCACAAGTTGAGATTGTGAGTAAACTTATCTATATGTAGTTATAATCATCCTCATAAAACTGTTATAAAAAGAATTAACACACAATTCATACAAACCATCACATTGCATATCTCAATGAAACATATTAAAGCAATACAAAATATCATAATTTAGTTAAACAATTTTACTTTTTAATTTTTTTGATGGATAAAGTATAACATTATTGCGCATCAACAGAATAAAGGATTTTAAAAAATCTTTTTAGGATCCATTGTTCTTTTTGATTGGAGTTTCAAATTTCTTCGGAATGATGGGATTCTATACACCTTTCGTCTATCTTCCTAATATGGCAGCACAGTATGTAAGTTTAAAAATGTTTTAAGGATGAAAATCTTTTTTTTTCACAGCGTGAAAATTAAACAATGAAAAAAATTGTCTTGACGTTTTAAGCATCCATAAAATCAAGATATCAAAGTATCATCAGAGGTACATTTAAAAAAAAACATCATGCGTAACGTTAAGGCACTACAAACAAAAAAACAAAAAACTTTCTATCTAATTTATGTCGGCGCACAAATCAGAATGACATTAATGCAATCAACATAGTACAGATAGTAGATTAGTTTGAATAAGCTTGAGATAAAGATTAGTTTGTCAATTTTTTATAATAATTTAATTAAACAATTCCAGGAGGATATATCAGTTGAAGATGCTTCCTTCCTAATCTCTGTTATCGGTATTTCCAATACACTCGGCAGGGTTCTTAGTGGTTGGATCTCAGATTTACCATGGGTAACTTAATATTATAACTTAAAGAGACTAGCGACGTAATCTCACGTAAACTGTCATTGGTAGAGTGGATTCTCCAATTCACAATGGCACTCTATAAACCCACAGAAATCTCCGGTTACTTAAAGTACCAATTGAAAGTGGTTCTTAAAATTAGGTCTACAATTAAACAAGTTTTTATCAAATAAGTTGGAAAACTGAGCGTGCACAAGAACAAGTTTTTGTACTTTGAGGTCTCACTTTTGTAAGTAACCCTGATAATAAAGCCGCGGAGGTTTTACAGTTAAGCTATTTTAAAGGGACAATCTAAGTTAACTCATGAGATTCTCAGTAAAAGATCGAGTTATAACATGACTGATTTAAATGGTAGGATTAAAAATCCTTTAACTGAGTAACAACGAATGTGAAATCAATAAGTATCAATTTTCAGATTGAAAAACGCGGATATGTATTTTAAAATTTTTATCAGATAAAAGCATAAAGAATACTGTTGACGTTATTAATCAGTTTTTATTACGTTTTACAGGGAAGATCACTATAGCGTCAACAATCACTTTAATATCATTTCAATTTCAGGTTAACTCTATGGTTGTAACAAACATAGCTCTGGTTCTGTCTGCAGTTTCAGTTTTCTTATTCCCTTTCTGTGCCAGCTACACTTCATTCGTTATTCTTGCACTACTTTTCGGTCTATTCGTAGGTAACTATATTATTAACTAACTGGTCTATTCGTAGGTAAATATATTATTAACTAACTTAAAGTGCTCGGGTTTCAACGTAGGATTTTTAAACCCCTATGAAAAAATGAAATTCAAAAAAGTTACCCCAAATTATGTTATTCGTATTTAAAACCAATCATTTTTCGTTTCGTTTAAATTTTTTTCAAAAAAACGTTCGATTTATTTTAGAAATGATCGTTTTTTGAAAATGAACCAAGCGTTTTGAACTTTCAAAAAACGAAAAACTATTGTTTTAAAAACGATCGTTTTCGCAAAAGAATTTGAGTTTTATTACAATTTATTTAATTTTTTTTTGGGAAGATAAGGTTATGAATGTTGTCTTAAATGTTTTTGTTGTTGTTTTCTGACCCCGGATTTTCCGACTAAATTATATATTTTCTCTCTTAAAGGCCGTTCAAGAAAGGTCGTCGTTGACGGTCGTTTACAAAGGGTCGTCGCTATCGGTCGTTAACGAAGGTTCGTCGCTGACGGTCGTTAACGAAGGGTCTTTTTAAAAAACGATCGTTTTTAAAAGCGATCATTTTTGAAAACGATCATTTTTTAAAAAACGAAAAACGACAGTTTTTAATAAACGATATTTAAATCAAAAAGGCGATCGTTGCTAAAAACAATCGTTTCGTTTTTCATTTTTTCTTCGTCGTTTTTGAAACGAAAAGATTGTTTTTTCAAAACAGTGGAAGCGATCCACCCCTACTCCCAATTTGGTCCAGTCGTTTATATCATTATTCATAGTTATAGTTTTAATAATGACAATGAAAATATTTAAAATGATTGTATTGAAAAAAATAACAATAATAATAATAATAATAATAATATTTTCTAGCTGCGTACATCTCCCTAACCAGTATAGTGTTGGTAGAACTGTGTGGGATAGATAATCTGACCTCAGCATTTGGCCTCCTTACTTTATTCAGAGGTTCTTCCTCTATGATTGGTCCTCCAATCAACGGTAATTTGACCTCGTTTATAATTATAAAATTTAAATTCCAATTTTTAACTGATGATAGAAACCTTTTAAGGGCGCAGTTGTTTAATTAAAGGATCACTTTACCATGACGAACCGTTGAATACAGTTGTCCCCTTTCTACTGTCGAAGTCGATTGATTTATCTTGAAATCGATGTATAAAGTTAGAACTAAAATACAGCAGAATTCACGTCTTTTTCGTCTTTTCGTTATAAAATGTCGCCAAGGATTTTTAATTTTTATGTTGCCTTGGACATTAAGAGAAATTTTTCCGTTAAATCAATTACAAAATCCTTGCCACAGTTTTCTGGTAATCAGTGTATAATTAAGAAAATTCACCAAAAAATGTATTTTCTTAATTAAATGACGTTTAAAGAAAAATATTAAAAGGTAGGTTAGAAGATTTCAATAATTCCAGGTATGGTCTTTGAAGCCACAAAAAGTTTCGACATAAGTTTCTACGCATCTGGCGGATTTCTCCTAATCGCAGCGCTCATCAGCTGTTTGGTTGATGTACTTAAGAGAAGAAAACAGAAGAAACTCAACCAGAAATCGGAAGAATAAAATCTCACGGATTCCAGCGCAAAATTATGAGAGTTCTAGATTTCAAGAAAAAAACATGTTAAATAAAGGATTTTTAGTTAAAAGTCCAGAAGGTTTTAGTCTCATAAGAATGGACATATACAAAAAATAAAGTAATAAAATATATCAAGTATCCTTTCAATCAAATTCTTATTTTGTTTAAAAAAAATAAACTAGGTCTAGAAGGGCTGGGCTTGGAAGAAAAATAAAAAAAATATTTCAACCTTATGTTAAAACTAAGAGAAGACTAAATAAATAAGCTTTTTAAAAAATGGAATATCTTCGTGTTGTGAAAAATCTAATTATTTAATAAACGACATTTAAAAACCGTACATTTTGCCGTAAATACAAATTCCGATACGTTTACAAGTATTTTTTTTTTGCTAAAATAGATATGCTACAGGGTTACCCACAAGGCATGAGACTTTATAGACGATTTCCGGGATTTACTCTGTCTTTCTTAAATTAATGTTTTCCTATGGATTTAAACGTTTTGCTTACAACGGTAAATTATTCAGTTCTCCTATAAAATACTTTATCCAAAATCAAAGACCATATTTTAACATAATATCTTCGAAATTAAAGAGATCGCCTTTAAAGTCTTATCCTTTGTTGGTAAGTCTGTATAGTGTCGGCCTGTCTGGCTTTATATTTGATTACATTTGTTTTAAACATTCAACATGTTGAACATTTTTTAAAAATGTAGAATTACTTACGGCATAAAACCACTTTTCAGAAGAAAAAAAAATAGAACAAAAAACTAGATTGTTTTTTTTCTAGAAAATAATATAGCAGAAAATACATAATTCTTATAATGTGGTTGTGAATATTTAGAGAAATTTATTGTGATGAAGCTCACACTGTAAAGGAGAGCCAATAGTTAAATATTTAATAATTGAAAGGTTGCCATAGTCCATATTTAAGCTTATTCACTTATTAAATTGCTTTAATAAAATCCTAGCAATATCTAACTTTTGACTTTATTTCATCGTATCTTTTTTATTTGTCGTACAAAAGCATCTGTTGTTGTACTCCAAAAAAATATTCGCGGATTTTTCTGTTTTAATTGGTGGATTCTCAAATAAAAAGTTCATATTTTGTCCTAGCTAAATTTTTTAATTTAACTTTCCCAGGGGTGACTGTGAGTTGCCGCAAAAAATTGGGACTGATCGGTTTAGCCGTTCATTGCATACACACAGACGGAAAAAGAGACAAGCAAATTATATACAGGTTTACCCACAAAGGATGATCCTTTAATAAATTGGAAAAGAAACAAACTATTTTAAAGTTGTAGGCAATTGTGAATATAAAGAAAACAAACAGTATAAATTCCGTACAATCGTCTTTGAAGTCTCATCCTTTGTGTATAATCCTGTTGAAATCAAGCAAATTGTTCCGTTCATAATTTGTTAAAAATATTGTGAATATATTTCCATTATTTCAATCCTTTCAATCATCAGTTTTTCATGCATTAACTGTCAAATATGAATTTATATGTCGTTACCTTAATTACCTTGCATGTTTGCTTGGAGTGAGCTGTATGTAAAAGGAGAACCAGAAAACTAGAATAGGAAAGACGACTTTTAAACTCAAGTAATGATTTCAAATAGTCTAGTAAACATAAGACGCATTACTTGGGCAGACCCAATTACAATACATTTTTGAGCCATTAGTATAACTATTCGCTTTAAAACAAAAATATATTAAAACATTAAGATTACCATATTCCTATTCCAGTTTTCTTGTTCTCACAATGGATTGTATACAATGTACATAATATGTTGATGAATTGTTTTAACTTTTAACATGAATTATGTATAGTAGTAGCATTCTAGCGTAAACATTTAAACCATACTGCGTCCCATATTCAATACAGGGTTACCCACAAAGAATGAGCCTATAAAGACGACCTGAAACTATCAAAATATGACGATTACTAATCTGAATTAAATCTTCTTCCATGAACTTTGTCTTTTAAGGGCTTATTTAATGATTTGGCTAAGAGCGAAACCTGTTTACAGATGTAGGGACTAGGGAGTTATTAATATAAGGAAACAAACAGAGTAAATTCCGTAGAATCGTCTCTGAAGTCTCATCCTTTGTGGGTTACCCTGTAGCTTAAGTAGAAGTTAAATAAATCATGACAAACGCTTTTAATTATTTTATCCAGAAAATAGAAATCCAAATCTTAAGCTGTTTAACAGGGGTTGTCAATTATGCTAGTTTAGATACAACTGTGGGGAATTTTTTCAGATTTATTCTTTTTGCATAATACTTTTAGGGTTGTTAATTGTTTTTGAGAACGATGGGTCACAGCGAACAAACCACTCGTCTTGAACTCTGAAAAAAAACGATCGTTTATTAAAAAAACGATAGTTGATGAAAACATTTTCGCAAATGAATCTGAGTTTTATGACAATTAATTTCGGTTTTTCAGAATGATATATTTACGAGTGTTGTTTGTGTTTTTTATCATCGAAAAAAATAACCTGAAATGTTTTCTGACCTAATTTCTTTTTCTGATCTAAGGGGTTTCCGACAAAAAAATGTTTTTTTTTTGTATGAAAAGGTCGTTAACGATTGTCAAAAATTATAAACGAAACGAAGAACTGTAACTAAAAAAAACGGTCTTCATTAAAAACGAGAGTTTCATTTTTCGTTTTTTCTTCGTCGTTTTTCATAGGCGAAACAACCACATGTTTACTAGTATGAAACTGTGATTAATAGGTCTCATGCTAACAAGAATCAATTAGAATTTGGCCAATTAATAATACCCTTACTAAACTTTCCGTGACAAAAAAAATATTGTTCTCTTTTTATTGAATGAGTATCATAACAATATTTAACACATAGGTAGAAATGTCAACTAAGTATTTAGTTAATAATATCTAGTTATATTACAATGCTGAATGTGAAATAAATTCACAATAAACCAAACAGTTGAAATCTATTAAATCTTGACTGTTAAGTTTTCCGACATTTTTAAAATTACAAATTTAGGCGGATTATAAAAAAACAACTTCTAAATGACTAAAATGAAAAGCGTCCGACTGTGTCGATAGAAACTTTCCCGTTACATCTTTGTAAGAGAGGGAACTGAACAGGGTTCAATCCATAAAACTATGGAAAATGAAGAAGAAATTAAAATAAATCTTGTGTCTATTTAAAAAGCATTCTGTATAGTGTAGACGAGCGTCTTGTAACGCCATTTATGGATCCTACTTGTCCGACTATATAAACAGATTATATTACAGTGACAACCATAAAACGCTGGAATAGGAAGACGACTTTTAGACTCAATGTATGATTCTAAATAATCCAATTAACATGAGACATAGCAATAAGTGATATATTAAATAAATACTAAAGCTATTTGCGTTGTAACAACATCAAACACACTTAATTATTGCTTTAATTGCGTCTTCAGTTTTCTGGTTTTCACTGTACCGTAAACTAAGCTCTAAGTGTGTACTGCTCTAAACTGCACACAAAAACTTCAGCGTTGATACACTTTAATTAGTTACAAATATGGAATCCAGAAGAAAAAATAACTTGTGTCCTGTTCAATACATTTAAAGGTTCAATTCATCAGTACAAATTAGAAAAGATAAAAAAGAAAAACTTAAACATTAATTACAAGCTTACAATGTATTCAATGCACCACACAAAAAAATTGTACAAACTGATTTTAACAAATAACCTGACAATAACACAATACAACACATCATACAAAGCCTGTAGATGTAGATACTTTGCTATATTTCATGTACTCGACATGATTGTAGTGGACTAGAACTGACATGTGACTTATTTCTTGTTTATTAACAAGACTTGAAAACTGAGAGTTGTTTTAGACAATTTCATCTAGAAAAGTCATTTTAAAGATGGCCGTTAATTGTTGTAAAAGACAATGACACAAAAACATCAGATCTGTCCTAACCATTATGTTACCACATAAAATTGTCCTTAATGAACAAGATTTGATACAATAGTAGACTGAAATCGCGGTTTATATTAAAATGGCGAAATTGCGCAAGGTTGGGTTTGGCTTATTCGTCCTGGTAGATTTTCTCATTTACAAACCCGCGTTTTCCTCCCGTAATCTGCTCGTCTTCCTTGGTGTTCAACTCAAGGAAAATATCACGAGGCAAAATAAACCTAAAAATAACAAGACTTAAGTTTACTTAAACAACTAGAAAAGCTGCAAATTCAAGTTTGCATTAAAAAAAACAAAAAAAAACGAGAATATCAGATTGTTGAATACTGAATTATTTCCTTTTTACGTTTCAATAAAATATCAGATGACATTTATTTGGAAATCAAGCCTAAGAAAATAATCATGCATCTGAAGCGTTCCTTTATTACCTCTCACTTTCCAGTTTGGAGATTATCTCATGAATTCCTCTCCCATTGTATTTTATCTGGGTGAAGTTAAAATCCGCGGCCATTTCTAGGAATCCATTTTGTTTTTATCAAAAAAAATGACTGCTTTATTAAGTACCCTGTAAAAGCCTTATAAATAAATCATTCAGGAAGTTTTTCCCTAATATCAGCTCTAACGTAAAAAAAACTAAAAAAAAGACTAAAAACATCCGAAATCAGAGAAGTCTAATCTAATCTAATCTAATGTATTCTGCTATGGCGAAAAAAATTGTCAAATGAAAATGATTCCTTCGTCAAGTAATCCAACTCTCTTCATCTGGTTGGTAAACGTCAGCTTTAAATAGGTCTCAAACTACAATTAAAAAGGGATTGTTCACTGGACATTATTTTACAAAATTCATTATTTCGGTATATAAAAAATATACATATTTTCTTACAGATTGTTAATCCGATGAACTAAAGAGTCTGTTATGAATTAAGAGTGTAACAATTTAAATCCAGGGTCAGTTAAACATGTAATAGTCCTTTAAATATTAGCTGCAAACGACTGGTTAATCGGTTGAATACGAAAAAAAATGAGAACAAATTTGGGTTTAAGTTTAAAGGAGTTTGAGTGTTGGAAGGGTATATCTTAATAGGAATGGGGTTGGGGAAGGGGGTAGGTGAATTTAAGTAAATACCTGAGTGGCTGGTTTGGCAGGGTTATATGTAAAGTTCATTGTTGTAATTCCTTGATGGGAGCATCGTAGAGCAGTTTCCTTGCAGGGTAAGATAAATATCTCCTCTAGGGTACCAGCCACCAAGAATCTAAATATTGGGTAAAGTAAATATCTCCTCTAGGGTGCCAGCTAACAAGAATCTAAATATAGGGTAGGATAACTGTCTCCTCTAGGGTACCAGCTACCAAGAATCTAAATATAGGGTAAGATAAATATCTCCTCTAGGGTGCCAGCCACCAAGAATCTAAATATAGGGTAAGGTAAATNCTACCAAAAATCTAAATATAGGGGAGGATAAGTTATATATCCTCTATAAAAGGGTACCAGCTACCAATCTTAAGGATGGGATAAGAAGCTAACCTGTTCTCTAACTGCAGTTTGGTTGGTATATCATGTTCGTTGGATTCGTTCTTTGGTATAACACTCAAACCAAAAACATGGGAGTCATTGTAGTAGAACAGAGATGGAACATCCTCCTGTATAATTATTAATAAAAGGAAGTCTTCAGTATATCTGATCAACCGCATCACATTCACAACGATACTTTATTAGAAAATAACCATTTAAAAAAGTTAATTCATGGAAATCAAATTCATTCTTGATCAGACAAAGCTCTTCGTTATAAATCGGACATGTCACTCTACATTTAGAGGGTCATATTATGTTTACAGTCTCTTTTATTAGTTAGTAGAATAAGTACCAGACGTTGCCTGTGCCCATAAGTCTTTACGTGGTTGTCCTTATCCCGCAGACTTATTTTTTATCACTCGGCATTGAAAGAGACCGTCAGTGTTTTAACAGTTAATCTGAGGGGTAAGTCTAGGCCATTTATCCTGCTACCAGGGGGGAGGTGTGAACAGTATTACAGTTTGGCCGGCTACCAGGGGGGGTGTACAGTATTACAGTTTGGCCGGCTACCAGGGGGGAGGTGTGAACAGTATTACAGTTTGGCCGGCTATTGGTACTTACAAGCAAGCGCACATCGCCACTCGGTTTTACAAGATATATTTCAGCTGGAACTCTAGATGATTTAGTATTAATTCGAGGGGGGGCATTGTAAATGAGTATTTAAGTTTTATTTGTTTGATGATTTAAAATGTTTTACCTTATATAATACCAAAAAACTTATGAATAATTTATGAAGAGTAAACATGGTAAAATAGTATATGAAGGAAGAGTAAACATGAAAGAATAGTTTATGAAGGAAGAGTAAACATGGTAGAATAGTTTATGAAGGAAGAGTAAACATGGTAGAATAGTATATGATGGAAGAGTAAACATGGTATAGAATAGTTTATGAAGGAAGAGTAAAAATGGTAGAATAGTATATGAAGGAAGATTAAACCTAGTAAAATAAATTATGAAGGAAGAGTAAACCTGGTAGAATAGTATATGAAGGAAGAGTAAACCTGGTAGAATAGTATATGAAGGAAGAGTAAACCTGGTAGAATAGTTTATGAAGGAAGAGTAAACATTTATCTTCTTCTTCTGTCCAGGGTCCAACCTTGAGATCAGGATCTAATTCCTCCAGGTACATTTTGCTAAAATTACATAAAAACATCAGCACAATAGTATTTATATAACACAAAGCACCCCAAATCACAATTGAATTATTTTTAAACATTAACACAAAAATAAGTTTAAAATACTAAAACTTTCCTGTTTTCAGCAAAAGCCTTATGCTATTTTTCATGAGAACACTTTCTTTTAAAATGTTTTAAAAATCCCCATTTGTAGCTTTTCCCTCTACATATGCAGTATTAGTATCAAACTTTGATAATTAAAGTTAAAAAAATAAATATGTTGTTTTACCTCAACATATTTTGTAGTTTTATTTTTGATGTGTAGGTGGGTGCCGTCGTCTAAATATGTAGAAAAATTAGAGAAAGAAAGTATTGACGAGATTTCAATGATCGTGTTCCAAAGGTTCACTGTTTTCTTTAACAATTTATTTTTAATTTAAAATTTTTTTATAACAAAATTTAAAAAGAGAAGTGATATTTTTTTCTCCGACCGTTATATTTTTTTTATCTGATCATACATCTGTTTTGTGTTCATCTCTTTTAGATCTACGCATTCTATTCTCTTGTAGATAAGGGGAAAATGCATTTTGACAAATATTTTTGATTCATACTATTATCTAATTTGATATCTTGGCGCCAAAAATATCAAATTAAGTAAAACAGAAAGTTACTGTTTGTGAGGAGTAGATATCAGAATAATTTACAATTTTCAATATTTTTTTTTTCAGCATCATTTGAAAGTTACTTCAAACTAAGTTTCCTCCATTTTCTTGCTGGTTGAAAAAATGTCACTGCACCAAGCGGGGTTTGAAAATTCTGAGGAGATTCTGTGTCAGAATCCTGCCTTAATAATGACAAATGGAATAACAATGGTTAGGAAAGGAGTGGATATTTTTGACAAACAAATCTTGCTTCTTGAAAGTTCATCTCGGAAACAGTGCTTCAGAAAACTGCCATGTCTACAGCAATCCTTTCCTTACAGCCGGCAGAGTATAAACCCGTATCATATTGCATGGTGTACAACCTAAGAGGATTCTACTTTATAAGTTTCCATTTTCCTTGTTTCTGGCAAGAGGGAAGGGGAAGAGGATAAGAGAACGCCCCCCCCCCCTCTCTGCACAATTATCTTCTTTTTTTCCCAAGTATGGGGTACTGCCATGTTATTCCACACAGGGTTCTGTTTAGCCACAAGAAACTGGAGAGTTGTATAAGAACCTTACTGTTCTGAGCTCCCTTGATGCTTACACAGAGAAGCATATTCAATCGAAAGAATTAACGTCTTCCGACGAGTTCAGATACTTAATAACAGCTAAATAGGCTTGTTATTAAGGAATACATTTAAAGCTGCCAGTAGCAAAATCTGGATCCAGCTAGGTAAAAAACCTCCATTCTTCAGGTTAATACAGTGTTTCAATGTTTCTTGTAGTTCCATTTATTTCTTTTCCATTTGTGTGGAGGGGTGTGTACGGGGTTATACACTCCTGGCTAAAGTTTCTCTAGCTTGCCATTTTCTCTCTCTCACCCTGTATCCCTGTCTACTTTAAGAAGCGCCGAGCCAGAGCCAGTTGTCGCTGCTCTAATAGCACCGTGATTCAAAGATTGCCAGGTCTTACACAATGATCGTTGAGAATTTTGCAAATTACTTCTTTGAAACTAATGCTAGTGCTTTATAGTTAAAAAATGTGAATGTCTAGGACTAAAAAAAGTACAAGTGAGTTAGAGATGTGAAATCAAAGACAAAGCGTTGCAAGTTTTGCTATTTCAAGTTAAAATATTTACCCCTTATGGCGGCGGGGTGAACTTTTATCAGAAATTATGCGACCATCGGGGTATTGCGGGGGGTTGCTCGACACAGTCTTAAAAATTGATGCAACATTTCATGACAATATGGAATCTATGTGAATTACATCCATCAAGCTTTTCTCGGAAGAAAAATTGTGTGAATGATCTTGGTCACATATTTGACCATTTCAAGGGGAATGATGAGTTCAATGTGTTGGCTTTAAAACTTATTTTACAATTTTATGCCTTGATTGATATCCAAAGTTTAAAAATAACAACGAATGAATGGCAACCGTATGAAAATGTGCTGTTTAATTAGACATAAAATTAATGAAAGAAAAGATTTTACCTTTCCAAACACATCGTGCATAAGTTTGAGTGCAAAATCCCATTTTGTTTTCCCGATAGCACTGAAATAATTCATAATTAGTTGTTTCAATAATTCTTTTCTTGACTTTAATATTTATTTTAAAATAATTAAGACACTTTATGGCTTGATTTGTTTGACCTTATTTGATTAGTTTTGACTTGAATTATCAATTTAAATAGTAGATACAAAAACCATGAAACAGATCAACTGTGCAGTGTAAGGTTATTTTACTTTAACAGATTTTTCAAGATAATAGTAAAATTCATTTTTTTAAAACATAAAATACACATTATAATAAACTTTCTACTCACTTGACAATCTTGATAAGAGTCTGTTTGTGTTCCTCGATTAGTATCAGGCGACCATTTTGGAAACTCATTGGTGCTTCCATCCTAATCAATTTATATTTAATTAAGATACGTGTTTTTAAAAATATCAAAATTAAATCAAAATGAACAGATGTCTTAGCTAACTTATTTTCCTTTAAAAGGAACTGAAAAACGATTTGATTTTAAAGTTAAAATATGTCTTCGTAATTGCTAACTAAACGAACTGTTTACTCGCCTCAACCGCAAACCTTTATATTAAACAGGCTGTTTGATCTAGTAGAATTCATTGCCTTAAAATAAGATCTCCGACATCAGAACTGATATTTAAAAATAAAGCCCTCTATCATTCCTAGACTTGGGCCTTCTTTACGCCAATGTTCTACCCTTGGGTCTTGTACAATTAGACCCAATGATTATAATTGGTTCTGTCTGTATCATCATTATCATTATCATTATCATTATCATTATCATTATCATTATCATTATCATTATCATTATCCTTATCACTATCATTATCATTATCATTATCATTATCATTATTATTAACAATCAATCTACAGACAAAGTACAACGATTTGCATAATCAATTGGCTGAGTGTAAATTTCGAAAACTCAAAGTTTACACAAGTATATTATTTCCATAATGTTTTTTTTATAAATATAGCCATTTTAAAGTTTGATTTTTAATTTTAAATGTAAAAATTAGATAATATTTACGAAATTTACTATCTCCAGCCTTTGGAGACTCGCTAAATTTGGTACCTCTTGATAGATAAAGCTTCCTTCTTCTTCTTAACCTTTGTGTACACGTGACCTAAAATAATTGAAAATATTTTTCAAAAATTATCTTCTTTCAGGTACTTATTAGTGATTTTCCATGCAAAGATGATAAAGCCCGATTTACAACGGTACCCTTGAAACCTTAATCTGGTCAAAAATGAGAAGATAATGTCGTTTTCCTGACTCGTTCAGCTAAAAATATAAAGTTAAAAGGAACAAAAACATGGATATCTAATTCATATGGAGGTTCACATTGCTAAGCAAAAAAGGAGGATGGCCGACCTGAGAAAACTGATATTTGAAAATAGCTTAAAACCTACCGATGGATGTTGCATATCTATGGAAACTGATCTTAGAGTCTACCAATAGACTCTCCAAGCTCTCACATGTCATCTTTAAGTTATTTTTAAACCTGAAAACATAAAATTAACATTCTCTAAAATGGGAAAATGATAAATGAAGACTTGTTCTTTTTAACAACATAATCTCAGAGTAACTTTTTAAACATGGATACCATTTTTTGACAATTCCTTAAAATTATAAACCCATAAAATATTAAGTAGATGTTTCTGAGAAGGAAGAGGGGGAGATTTTTCAGGAAACCATGAAATTTTTCTTTGTATGGATGGAAGTGTTACGTACAATAAAAAAGCTTACCTTTCAGGACAGTTTTCATTAATGAACTCGACAAGTATGGAGATATCGATTCCAAATTTAGATTTTCCATCGTACTCTAGCGTCAGCTCTAGTATATCAGGACCGTGGACGCAGGTCTAATTCGTCAATACGCATTTTAAAAATTAAATAATGTTAAAAATATTGTACTCAGCCTGCCAACTCTGAGGTCGGAACTCTTGAATAAAATTGCGCTTATTTACAACGTCTGAACTCGCCATTCAAACTGGGAACTTTTAATCAGCGATTAAGAAAAAATTATCATAATGCTTCAAACACAACAATTTATGGAATAGTTTTTTCTTAAAAAAATAGCTTATATATATTCAGGGGTATAGAAAAGTACATACCTCTTATGTTAAAAATAAACAAAAATACCCACATAATTCAATTTAAAATAAGTCTTCCAATTATTTTCAGTTTGCGTAAAATGCGTATGCATTCCTTGTTGACACAGATCAGGTTGGAAATGTGCTTCTCGGACACTAGCATTAGAGCTCTAAATGTAGTTATATTCATTAAAAAAATATTATGTATTATTCAATTGATTATTTCAAAAATCTTCTTTTACTTCAATCAACAAGCTTTTTATCCACTTTTCAGTTTATTATTCCCTCAAAAAGATACGGGAGATACAACCAGGCTTATATTCTTATTGTATAATGTAGCATTTTAAGAGAATGTACCTGAATTTAAGGAGTTTGATGCTGGTGAACGTAATCCCGAAGAGAAAGGATGGAATCTTCTGGAACAGAAAGTACTTCTTCCTAAATAACAATTAGTTAAATTTACTTTTTTTAAAGTTCTGATTAGAATCATGACTAAACATTCTCTTAAAACGTTTGTTCCCGAAAAATCGGGAAAAAGTCTGTAAAAATTCACTTCACGTCGCTTAAAATATTTTTTCTTTTGTTTTCTATTGATCCCCCCCCCCCCCACCCCCATATAAACATGGGGGGGAGGGCTTACTTTACGCCGCATTTGTATACCTTTACAAGTTTACCACTTGCCCCACTTACATTAAAGTTTAGCTTAATTAATCAATTAACCTGAAAGTGTTGTCATCCAATCGTCTCTCGATGTCTTTCTCCGATCTATTTAAAAAATAAATCAATCGCCAAACCAAATTAAGTCTATTTAAATCAATTCGAATCAAACCTAATAAAAATCAAAAATCAAATCAGATAAAATGAAATAAAATAAAATAAAATCATATCATATCATATCATATCATATCATATCATATCATATATCATATCATATGATGGTAAGCAATTACATCAATATACTAAAGACGACTTTTAAAATATAAGTTTTAATTGTTAACAAGCTTTTTCGTAAACAAGCTTAAGCCAAGCCAAGCAAAACCAAACTAACCTTCTCGCCATATGACTGGAAGCGAAGTTGATATCGTAAGGACTAATGAGATCAAGGGCGTGGAGCGCCATATCTTCCTGGTCGGTAAACGCAGTCTAAACGATTGGACTAGGTTAGGTTCTTCTAATTATCATTACAGTGGGACAGATAAAACTCAAATATTAAGATAAAATTATAGCAGACGCTTGGATATCTAAACATGGAAGTTAAAACGTTTCCCATATCTCAATTTGTGGCAAATCGGCCAAGGGGCTCATTATTTAAGATCGGACAAACAAACAAACAGCAGACAATCAGAGATTACTACTTTGCCTATTAAACCTTTAAGATTATTGTTGTAACTAAACAAATAGCTTGAACATCAACTTTTTAGGTGAAAAGGGTCAGTGTACGTGTTTTCTGTTTATTAGACATCTAAAAAGCATGACTTAATTCCAACAGTGACAGTTGTATGGGTCCCATTGTATCTAGGCGATTGATTCAGGTAATATGACCGGAATAAAACAAACGCTGTTAAAAAACATTTACTAAATTTTGTTTGATTTTAATATTCCTTTTCACGTTATTGGGCGATCAATGTTCGTATTTTATAATAATGAACTGAAAAAGACTATATTGAATAACTATTTCAGGGGATATTAGTTCCAAAACTAACACTTGGCCCATTTCTAACACTGCAAAACCCATTTCTAATCTACAAAGTTATCTTTTTCAAGAATATATATTTATAAAAAATGTAAATTTTAAACTTGTATTAAGGTGTGAGAATTAGTTTTTGATGATTCTCGATTTCATTTTCGAACATATCCCTATTTTGAAACAATTACCGGATTTCAGCTCATGTCGCGTTTTCGGAACATATCCTGGTTTTGAGACAATTACCGGAATTCATATCAATGTCAATTTTCAAGTATTTACGCACCTATGAAACAAAACAAGATTTTTGCTAAGGTAAAATGTAAACAAAATAGAAAATAAAAACAAACGGTTCTTTTATCTATATAAAAATTTGGCTTGTCTGGGTGTCTGTTTGTTTGTTTGTATCCAATAAACGTCAAAACGGCTGAACAGATCGGGCCCAAATTTTTTGTGGGACATTACGTGACCACAGGGAAGGTTTATGAATGATAAAAATTAAATAAAAATGTGTTTTAAAGGTTTTTAATTTTGCAAAAAAATTCAAATTCTTGAAAATCCGCGAATTTTAATTAAAAATCCGCAAAATTTTCTTCTTTGTTTTAAAATGTAAACAAAAAGAACAAGTTCACAATTTAAATAGAAGATAGGCGCCTAAAAGCCTGGTAATTTAAAAATCATTACAGCATTTAGAAATCAAAATATTAATATCATATGCGGGGAACTGTTTGTTTAAAATGTTTGAAAATAAATTATCCATATTCTCTAATTTAACAGATAAAATGTGAAACATTTATAAACTTATATTCTAGAAATAATTCAGAAGTTAATTTAGTCTTTATAATATAATATTGGTTTTAGTGATTTATTTTGTAAGTTATAAAAGTAAGTATTGTTTTGAATTGTGGATTATACTCAAAAACGGGAAAGTGGGTTTTTTATTTAATTTTTTATAGTTTTTATTATCGACTTTTATTCTTGATATGGGCTGGGATCCCAAAAACCCAGTCTTTCAATTTGTGCCCATTTCTAACACTCAGTGTTAGAAATGGGCCAAGTGTTGGTTTTGGAACTAAGGTCTCCTGTATTTCTTTATCAGATCTGAGCTGAAAACTTTAAGACTGGGATATCCCTAATCCCGATCTATTAATTAATCTGGAATTAATAACATGAGGAGAACAAGCAATATTTAATCTGGAGGTTAAGAAAAAGAGGATCAAGCATTGATCTCGATATCCACCATTCTAAAGTTTTCAGCTCTGAGCTATTTTTCATCAAAAACTTTACCTTAATGTCGATTTCTTCTTCAACAAACTTTCGTTTCTTAGTCGGTGCAGGCCTGTAAAATAAATTAATCTAACTTTCAATTTTGGAAATTTGTTAAACACGACAGAAAAATGTGGTTTAAACAATATAACTGAATGAATCCAAAAACATTAAACAGGGTATCCCAAAAAGCATCGAAATTAAGTAACTATGGAAAAGAATTATCAATATAAAACCTGAAAAAAAAATTAAATAATAAAAAAGCTTAGTCTGCTAGATTCTTATATATTTTTTATGAAAACGTTTGTCTTTTGTTATTCTGGGTTTTAAACTATTAACGAGAGCTGAAAAGTATTTTCGTTCGCACACATGTTTATTTTCGGGACACCCTGTATAATTTGTATATCTTTCGGGACACCCTATATCTTTACCTGTAAACGCGCGGAAGATAAATTCTTGGCATTTTGAGACTAACCTTGTTTTCTGATCAACTTGATGAAGAATGCCCGGTAAGTTCAGCTGGTGCTTCGATTCTTCAATTTTAACCTGAAAAACTGTGGGTTAAAGGACTGTAAACGTTATTTAAATGGACAGTTCATTATTAGAGTCACTGAGTGGTATGTTCGATCAACAACCTTCATCTGAACAAAAATGAGAATGTAATTGTAATTTCTTTCTTCTGTTAAGCGTCAAATTTTCCAAATTTCATACACAAAGGTTTTAACAGATCAAATCAAATGCAATATTTATTACATAAAGACGAAAAAGTTGAAATTAAAATAATCATTACAATAGTAACAGTTCATCCCCGTGAGGGAAAAGGATCTGGTTGGCCAGGTTTAAAATGTACCGTTGTGAATCAAACAAGCCACACTATAAAAGCAGTGATATTAATTGACTTTTTTTACCAGTTTATACGAGTATTTAAAAATTGGACCAACGGTTTCACTAATTTTAAGGGGGGGGATATTACAACCTCTGATAGTGATACCAACTAATCGCCTGATTGTAAGATTTCTTAATGTTTTACCTTACAGTCAAGCATTTCACCAGGGTCGTCCAGATTTTCTTCTAGGACATCCCTACACTCTTCAAACTTAATAAAACATTATTTGAACATCCCTAAACTCTTCAAACTTAACAAAACATTATATTTGAACATCCCTAAACTCTTCAAACTTAACAAAACATTATATTTGAACATCACTGAAGTCTTCAAACTTAAAAAACCTTATTTGAACATCCCTACGCTCTTCAAACGTAACAAAACATAATTAGAACATCCTACACTCTCTAAACTTAACAAAACATTATTAAATTATGTTAAATATATAAATAAATAATAAATAAATAAAAAAAAAATAAATAAATAATTAAATGTTATGTTATGTTAAATTATGTTAAACTTAACAAAGCATTATTTGAAAATCCCTACACTCTATAAAACATTATTAGAAAATCCCTACACTCATAAACTTAACAAAACATTATTAGAACATCCCTACACTCTATAAACTTAACAAAACATTATTAGAACATCCCTACACTCATAAACTTAACAAAACATTATATATGAACATCCCTACATTCTTCAAACTTAACAAAACATAATATATGAACATCGTTTCACTCTTAAGACTTAACAAAACATAATAAATGAACATCTCTTCACTCTTCAGACTTAACAAAACATAATAAATGAACATCTCTTCACTCTTCAGACTTAACAAAACATAATATATGAACATCTCTTCACTCTTCAGACTTAACAAACCAAAAATTGTATACTAGGAAATTACCCTAAATTTGTAACATTAATAAACAAAATCGGCATTAAAAATAATAGAAAAGTTGTCTGAACCGCGTCGAAGATCCGATAACCAAACTGAATTGAACGAGAATTCTCATAAAAAATTATATCTTAAAACTTGTAGTTTAATCAGAAAGGTATCAACTAGTACTTTTGAACTTATAGCCCATTTTTTTAAAAGAATGCATTAGAAAGCTAATTAATCTTTTTAACTGCACGAGAGTACAATATGTTGCGGCAATACAAGCATTATAAACAATAATATTGATTTGGGCAATGAAGACGATATTTTGAGAAGTATGAGGTATTGCATCGATCGGACTACTGGTCGATCGAATATGAAATATATGAAGCAAACCCCATTTAATTATTACTTTAACAAAAAGAAAGTGTAATGGTTACGACAACCGCTGAATGAGCATTAGCTTAGATGAATAATAATAATAATAAAAGTTCGATTGATCTATAGTCCGGTTGATACTTCGACAATCAAACAAAGACGATTTTCCAAGAAAAGTTTCTACGCGGCAGAATCAACACAAAAAGTGAAAATTTTCAACCTGTCAAGTCAAACAAACAAGAGAAGCTATTTGTAAATAGCTGTCTTAAACTCATTTGTTTTCTCTTTACTTCACAATACAGTTAAGCACATCTGTGGTCGGAATAGATTTTTGGCATGGGGTGAAGGGAGCAGGAGGGGGGGATAGATAAAACTCCTAAGAATGCGCGAATACCGGATAATATTTTCTTAATTCTCTCTCTCTATGACAGCTTGCTCTGACAGCTTGCTTCTATAGTAATGTTGAGGATGAATACGAATGTTATGAATTTGATATTTTTGATACGAATGTTGGGTTTGATTGTTTATCTGATCTTGATACTTGGATACGAATGTCATGATAGGCTTGATACGAATGTTGAAAAGGATGGATACGAATGTTATTAATTTGAGATCAGGAAAGATCATCCCATTAAAGATATGAATGAAACTTTATTAACCTGAGATATAATTCCGACAATATTATTATCATCTTCCACCAGTATTTCCTCCTGAAACAAATTGTTCATAAATGTTTAGATAATTCAAATTTTAAATGTAAGATACAAATACTTCCAAAAACTTCAAAGATGTAAAGTTTTCAAAGTTTTACAGTTATTAAAAGCAATAAAAAAATGACATCCCAAAATTTGAGGACATTTCTTTGCTTCGCTCCGAATCATAAATTTAGACTTCACTTAAAACCATCCCCCCCCTACGATAAATGTTACCTTAACAGTGTCGCTGAACTCAAGTTTAACGAATTCCCTGGCATTATCGCCCATAACGAGATTCTGAAATATTCATCTTTAGAAATCCACGAGTTTTATTTTCATCTGCGAAAAGCGAGCAAATCCTTGCACAAACGTTTCTTGAACAACATGTATGACGAATAAACAAAGGATAAAGTTGAATTTAAAGTCTCTGAAAAGCTATAATTTTTTCTAAATTGATCAAACCCAACCTATATCAAATTAATAACATTCGTATCCATCCTTTTCCATCCTTTTTTATTCTTCCTTAACATTACTATAGAAGCAAGCTGTCACAGCAAGCTGTCATTGAGAGAGAGAATTAAGAAAATATTATCCGGTATTCGCGCATTCATAGGAGTTTTATCTATCCCCCCCACCTGCTCCCTTCACCCCATGCCTAGATTTTTGCCTTTAAGCTTTTCATGAGATTAAGTTAACCGAAGATCAAAATGTCGTGGATGTGTTTACATACCAAATTTAGACACTTGATGTTTTTATTTCTTAAATTGGATTGTATTTCAGATCACTTTTAGTGTGCCGCAAGGCTTTGAAATAGCAAGAACGGGGGTTGGATGTGAATGCGATAGTTTGAAGCAGTAAAATAGAAAGGGAGAGAGATAGATAGATGGCAATGCAGGGACATGTAGGATATTTCCAGGGGGCTGGAGAACAACCTAATACCGAGGAAGTTAAGGTAAGGATCCAGGGTTGTCATTATTCGGGTCTGTCTTAGAGATCGATTTTTGGACATCCCCCTCCTATATAAATTTTGTACATGACCACTCTTTTTCAGCAAAATTTTTATTATTTATTTTGTATTATTTTAGGGTTAGGTTAGGTTAAGGACAGGCTAGGAGGTCGGACACCGCGGCCACATGATCAATTATATCAATGTGTAANTAGCACTTTAACTGAAAACGACTGTTAACTTAATTTCAAGCTAAAAGCGTCAAAATGGCATTTGATAGAATCGTATACTAGGACAGACCCGAATTCTTCAATGAAGTTATCCATGGTACAGATATTTAATTCATTAACGACGAGATTGTGACACCAAAATATAAACAGCATAAACATCCACGAATTTTCAACATGACCGATAACAAAAACAAACTAATCTATCTCTTAAACTACCGAATATCTATTAAAAGTGTTTCTTTCCTTCTTGTTGAAAGGTATTCAGAAAATTGAAACCGGTTTAGAACTATCTACAATTGCTTCTGGATAATGCTTGTCAGAATATTAATATTTAAATCATCAAATATGTTGTTTGTTTAGGGTGATGTTGGATCTCGGTATTCTGACATTAATGTACTGCTGGACCAAATACTTAATATCACGGACCAATCTCTAGACGAGGCACAGGTATACTGCCGTCTTCAACCCATATTTTCTTGAACATATTCCCCCCCTGTATATATAACTTTTATGTGGGAATATCATTGATCGTAAAGGGACTGAAAAGGAAAAATGAAATGGGGTTAAGGCCTGAAACCTGAGAATCTCAATAGTTGACCGAACAATACATATAAGACATCTAGCTGATGTTCCGGCCTCGAAAAATTGACAAAAAAATTATACCAAAACGTATATATGTAAGATATACGTCTGTATCACGTGACCAGAGTTCCTTCCAATGGCAGTGCAGTTTGCTGGTCATGTGATGATAATACTGCACTGCCATTTGTTGGAGTTATGGTGACATGTTCCGGAAGCATAAACAATATTATCAATTAAATCTATTAAAAATGAATAATTTTTAAATTCAAATAATAATTGGAGCAAATTTGAGTTTCTCAGCCTCCTCTGGGATATCGTTGTTTTTTAATTGGTTGCGTATTTGTTGAATATGATCTGTTTAAAACTAAAAATCATAAACAAAATCTTACATCTATCGTTTTGGTATAATTTTTACACAGTTTTATATCAATTTCTCAAACCAGGAACATCAAACAGAACTCTTGTATGTCTCAATCAATTCTGGAGTTTCTAAGGTTTCAGCCTATACCCCCTTTTATTTTTCATTTACAGATCATTCATAATTCATACTCTCTCCCCTTTGTGAAAGAAATTCTATTAATCTTTTCCAAAAATTGCCTAATTGCAAATTCATTTCTAAAATTGCAGAATGAAACATAGAGAAAGAAGAAAATCGCCAATTTTTCCTGAAACGACGACGAAGATGCTCATTTATAAATATTTGTAGACAATATTTTGACCAATTATATTGATTTTTTAAATGATTATTATTTGTTTGATGTTAGGCTCGAAAGCATACTCTGAACTCCCATCGGATGAAGCCTGCTCTGTTCAGTGTTCTCTGTGAGATAAAGGTATCTGTGTTTTTCATTCTATTTATCTCGTTTTGGCTTCCTGGATCCGGATTTAAAGGACAAAGTTTCAACCAAAAACTGTATAAAAGACATGGTTCTTTTAAAACTCTAAATTGAACTGTTAAAAAACTGTCTCTGAATGGTTTATCAAGTTTTAGCATAAATATAAACGAAAAAGAAGAAAAAAATGAAAATTCTGCGTTTGTAAAAAAAAATACACTCTTAGTCTTTAAGAAATGTTCATCATCGGGATCAGGACCTGGATTTGCACCAAAATTAAATGGATTCTTAGAACTTTGAATTATTTTCAAATATTCGGTGGAATTATTGTTTAAAACTTTTTTGCGCTTGTCCCATTTATAATGGGGGGGGGGGGGGCACAAAACGTATTAGTCTCCGGAAAATTTAAACAGTGTTTAAACATAACTTAGAATTGTCGTAGAACGTTGATTTATTTTTTTTGCATATTTTGCATTATTTATTGTAACTGCAAAATTCAGTTTAATAAAAATCTGAGCAAAAATGTGCGCGCACTTTTTGATGGAAAATGTTACTTTTGTCGCAATTTTGCAACATTGACACTTTGAAATGAACTTGAATTTGCATTTGCTTCAAGATGCTTTCAAACATGTAAACCTTGAACAGTTTTGCACAAAAAAAGCCTCAAATCCCCGCACGCGCGCATTTTAGAAAATATTTGAGATTCTTATCTTTTTCAATTTTGGCTTTACTAAGAATTAAAGTAGCATGCGATACATCAAACTGCAAGTAAATTGGGTAATGTAACCACATATTTTTCGAGTCAATTTACAGGTAATTGTTCACGAGAAATTCATTTCCGATGTCAAAATAAATATTGGAGCTGCCTGACTATAGAGTAATACGTTTTGTGCCCTTAATAGAGTATAAACGATTTCAGAGCTGAAAACTTTAGAATGAGATATCCTTAATCCCAACTAGCTATTTAATCTAAGTATCCAATGGACACACTTTTGATTTTTTCTTAAACCGTTCTTTCTTGGATATAGTAGAGAAAAATCAAAATTTCAAATTTACGGCTTCATATATGCGACTCTGATTGGTTGAATTTTATACACTTTTCAGGATACAAGTACAAGATTAGATTAGTCTCGATATTAAGAAAAAGAGAATCAAGCATTAATCTCTATATCCACCATTCTAAAGTTTTCAGCTCAGATTTCTTCAAAGGAATTTTTTTCTTCAGTTGCCGTCTTAAAGTGTTAAAGGGTTCTTTAATTCGTACTCTCTGTTCTATATGAGTTTGAATAATTTTATTCCTCTAGGAGAGAACTGGAATAACAACAAGGAATCTAAATGATGATGATCCCCCTGATCCCCAGCTCATGAGGTTAGCACTTTAATTTTTTTGTTGTTGACATTTTTACTTGTCTTTTTCTCAAAGGAATTAATAATAATTGTTTTAAAATTCTTTATCAGGCTCTTATCATTAATAATATACCAACCCTTATAAAAAGTTGTTTTTTAAAGTATGTATGCAACAATTTTCATTGAATCCCTTTTATTATGCAGGTCCATATTAAAACCAGCTTTTTGTTAAGAAATAAATATAATTTTATCTCCGAAAAATTAAAACCAATAAAAATAAAATTGAATTCCGATCGATACGTTCCTTTATTAAACGCTGTTTTCAGTGTGCAACAATTTTCATCGAATCCTGCCAATCTAAAAACTTATATGCAGGCCCTTTTTGAAACAAAATCTTAAAAGAAGCTCATTAATCTACTCTCAGAAAAAAATAATGATTAATTTAAATTTTACATAATGATTATTAACCCTTTGGCAGGGCTACGTCCTCTGGTTTTTCATTGAATTTGTGGGGATAAAAATTTCAATTTAATTGGTTCTAGTTTTTTGAGAGTACACAATACATTTATCATTATTATTATCTTTTTATCATTACTAATGTTACCGAAAGGATCATTAGGTGTCTGAGAGTTTACAGAAAGGTCAATGGCAGACCGCCATAGGCTTGTCTCCCAACCCTGAATTTACACCCAGCTCTTAACTGAAAGGGAGGTCAAGTCTGAAATATCAGATTAATGGACTGACAGTGAATTTTATTATTATTATTATTATCATTATTATGTCAAGGTTGGATAACATGTTGATTGCTGAAGGAGTGGCTGGACCTGATAAAACAGGAAGTGCTATTGCTGCTCCACCTCCGGTAATATATTTCCGGTTCCGAGATATTTTGTCTATTGGATCCGGATCCGTAAAAATATGTGAATACATGGATACTGATCTATGTTACAGAATATGAACTAAAACAAAAAGAACTAAATGTTTGCTCTTAGTGTCAATACACAAATACTAATGTTATCAAATACAGAACTAAAATATCCTTCCTGATCTCTGTTTGGTAATTTAAGTCCCAACAGACAAATTAGCGGAAAAATTGTTGTTGCCAATAATTTAAAGCATTAGAGAACATCCTCCCCGGTCAATATTTTAAAATTGTGATTGATCAAAAGTTTGGCATAATAAACACCTCATTAACAACAACTCGAAATCAAATAAATGTAAAATGCTGTAAATCAAATTGTCATCTATATATACTTTGCTTGCCTGTTTGTTTGTTTGTATCCAGTAAACGGCTGAACCGATCGGGCCCTAATTTTTTGTGGGACCTCCCGTGGCCCCAGGGAAGGTTTATGAACGATAAAAATTTTAAACTTTGATTTTCATTTAATTGTTGATGAAATCCGCAAATTTTTTTGTATTTGTTAAAACACAGAGAACATGTTCACAATTAAAAATTTTAGATGAGCGCGAAGCGTCCTAAACTCCTAGTTGTTTGAAATCACAGAATCTTTTTGATATTAAAGAGGCTAAGAAGCTTGAATGATCGTATTTACTCTCGATCTGGACAACCCTTGGGACTAAATTTGACAAATTCTGAACAAATTATACTCAAATTTTTAACAATTTGATTTGATCAGCTTGATTATTTGAAGCAATTGTTGACACGTTTTATCTGTTTAGGTAAGCAATGAGACAAGTATTGAGCATTCAGATTACAAGGCGCAGCTTGGACAGATTAGAAATATATATCATCAGGTGACTTATTGGATGCTTTAAGAGCGCATAGTTTTGTTAGATGTCTAGATTGGTTAAGTGATTTAATACATATTTTTTGTACCTGCGGGGTCTGGGTGAAACCTCTATCTGAGTAACAAAGAGGAGATTTTCCTTTTTAAAATATATTTCCGAATACAAAATCAGAGATTTGGCGTAATTGTATCTAATAATAATAATAACAAATCTATCTTTATATAATATATATTGTAAATTAAGTTTTTTTTCTTCTCTGTTTGCTCATGTGTTTGTATCTTAAAATTTCAAGGGCTGAGCAAATCGGTCTCTTTTATGTAAAACCGCAGATGACATAAAATATCAATAGGCAATTTTGGTTCTTAAATGGTTCTATTCAAGTTGCCATTTATGCTTAGTTTATTATGCAATAAAATTTCCCCCATGCATGTTGGATTTTCTAAAAGAAACAAAATTGAAAATTTTTCCTTTGCTTTATTTTTTTCACACTTTATGTTTTAAAATTTTTAAAAGGTTTTGATGAAAGATAATTACAAACTTGTACAATATTATTTTAATAGTAATACAGTATTTTAATTTTTCCACTTTGGTTGGTTTAGCCGTTAATTGTATACATTAGAAGACCAGAAAAGCCTAAGAAATATATGTTGTTACAAATTGTTAATACTTTATAGTAACTGGAGAAGTTTAATGTAAACATCACAAGACTAGACAAGCCTAAAAAATATATGTTGATACAAGACATTAATAATTGATAGGAACTGGAGAAGTTTAATGGATACATCACAAGACTAGACAAGCCTAAAAAATATATGTTGACAAATTAATAATAATTGATAGGAACTGGAGAAGTTTAATGGATACTATACAAGACTAGATAAGCCTTAGTTATATATGTTGATATATAACATTAATAATTGATAGGAATTGGAGAAGTTTAATGGATGCAATACAAGACTAGACAAGCCTTAGTTATATATGTTGATACATAAAATTAATAATTTTATAGGAACTGGAGAAGTTTAATGGATACATAACAAAACCAGACAAGCCTAATAAATACATGTTGACAAATTTATAATAATTGTTAGGAACTGGAGTAGTTTAATGGATACAATTCAAGACTAGACAAGCCTAATAAATATATGTTGATACAAGACATTAATAATTTATAGGAACTGGAGAAGTATGATGTTTCCTGTCAGGAGTTCACTACTCATGTTATGAATCTTCTCAGGGATAAATACTCAAAATTGTATTGCTTAGACGATTGATGGATTGATTTATTTATTTAATACTTAGTTTATGTATTGGTTAGATAATTGATCAATTGGAAAACTAATTTTTGTATTGCACCGTTGATTGATACATTGATTCATAATTGATTATCTGTTTGTAGGTATTCCGATTTTTAATTAATTGATTGATTGATTGATTGAATAATAACGTTGAGTGTTTAATTTGATCCAGAGAACAATCAAGGACCAGACCTATCACACCAAAGGTATGCTAGAATATTGTTATGAGTTTTGACTGTCTTAGCTCTGAAAATAAAGTTTAATAAAATTTCTTTAATCTAAACGAAAACATGAGAATTTTATATGTTGGGTCGGATTTAATAAATAGCTTTATTGTGTGGACATTGGACACTTTTTAAGGGAGTGTGCGTTAAAAATAAAAATTTATTTTTACTTTACTAATCCTTCCACCCTGCTCCGGAATATTGAGACGAATTATTTTTTGGATTTTTACGCGTATTTTCTCTTTAAGAGAGGAAGGTGAACACTCCCTTTTATACAAGTTTTTTCACGTTCAGGAGATAGAGAGAATGGTGAACACTGAACCCTCCCTTTAATATAAGTTTGTTCACATTCAGGAGATAGAGAGAAAGGTGAACACTGAACCCTCCCTTTAATACAAGTTTGTTCACGTTCAGGAGATAGAGAGAATGGTGAACACTGAACCCTCCCTTTAATAAAAGATTGTTCAGGAGATAGAGAGAATGGTGAACACTGAACCCTCCCTTTAATACAAGATTGTTCAGGAGATAGAGAGAATGGCGAACACTGAACCCTCCCTTTAATCTAAGTTTGTTCACGTTCAGGAGATTGAGAGAATGGTGAACACTGAACACTCCTTTTAATACAAGATTGTTTAGGAGATAGAGAGAATTGTGAACACTGAACCCTCCCTTTAATACAATTTTGTTCACGTTCAGGAGATAGAGAGAATGGTGAACACTGAGCCCTCCCTTTAATACAATTTTGTTCACTTTCAGGAGATAGAGAGAATGGTGAACACTGAACACTGAACACTCCTTTAATACAAGATTGTTTAGGAGATAGAGAGAATGGTGAACACTGAACACTCCTTTGATACAAGATTGTTTAGGAGATAGAGAGGATGGTGAACATTATCCAGAGGAAGTTCCAATCCATCCAGGTTCAACTAAAGCAGTCAACCTGCGAGGCAATCATGATTCTGCGCTCTAGGTTGGACATTTGTCTTATACATAGTGTCCCAATAAAGATGGGAATTGAGAGACGACTTAAATATCGTCGTTGATTTCCGATAATTGATGAATGCTACGAAGTGCATCAAAAAGAGATTAAAGTCCCAATAAAGATGGGAATTGAGAGACGACTTAAATATCGTCGTTGATTTCCGATAATTGATGAATGCTACGAAGTGCATCAAAAAGAGATTAAAAGTCTTATGAGCTTTCCAAAATGTGGTCTACCTTCTTTGTATCTTTAAAATTGACGGAGACATTAAACATTTGAACAATTTGTTGATTTTAATAAACTGGAACCACCAGGAAAAATTTCCTAATATCTCCGTCAATTTTGAAGGTAAAAAATGGTAGACCACATTTTGTAAATCCCTAGACTAGTTGTTTTTGGTGTTAAATGTTTGAACTGTGATTTAAAAAAATTATGAATAAGAGATAATCTAGCATGGAAAAAAGACGATACAGAAGTCATCATTTAGTTCCCATGTTTATTGGGGCGCTCTGTGGCCTGTACCTTATGCGCTATTTTAAATGACTGTTCCGTTTTAACATTCTAACATTGATTCTCTGAAAACTAACTTCTGAAATTTCTGAAACAAAATATAGATTTTTGCTCAAAGTTAGACATTATTATGCATTGGAGAGCGTTTGGGACTGTTCAATTACTACAATTTGAGCTCTTTTTTTTCTCCCGAAATCAAATCATGGGAAGTCCATTTACACATTTATTATTTTTAAAATTTTCTCATATAATCCGCCAGGGGTCCTGAAAATAACCATTACAAATATCGATGTCAAATGAAGCGTCTTGGAAAATTAAGTTGCGTTTGATACATTTAATAATATTTAAATTTTTTTAGATTCCTTGATCAGCGACGTAAGCGCCGAAACTTCACGAAGAAATCAACTGAAGTTTTGAACGAATATTTTTACTCTCACCTCGCTAATCCCTATCCTAGTGAGGAGGCTAAGGTTAAATCAATTCAGTAATATTTAGAGTGGGTTTATATTTTCCTGAAAATGACCTCACCTAGCACCATCCCCCTTCAAAGAGATTATATTAATAAAATTACAAATAAAAAAACTTCAAATGATTTTTAAAAAGGAAATCAATAATGGCACAAACAAGAATACTTTTTATGAAATATTTGGTTTTGCACGAAACATTTTTTAACAAACTCATGATTTAGGAAGAGTTAGCTAGAAAATGTGGGATATCTATTTCACAGGTGCAGATAATTTATTTTTCTATCGTCACAGATATGATTAATAATTAACTTTTTTAGGGAATAATTAATTTATTGATTGAGGGATTGAGTGATAGAGTGATTGGATTGAATGTTAGATTGGATTTTTAATTTGATTTTGGATTGGATTGGATTTTAGAGTGGATTTTGAATTGGATTGAATTTTAAAAATAAGTTGAAAAATGGTTAAAATGTTTGTTAATTCCTGTTCTATTAGATCAGTAACTGGTTTGGGAACAAAAGAATTCGCTACAAGAAGAACATTGTCAAGGTAATTATTTTATAGTTATTTTCACATCAGATGATAAGATAGAGTTTTTTTACCAACCCTCTGATAAATGCACTCAAGAAGGATATAGAGTATTGCTGGGATGATGGGGATTGGGGAAGCCCCCTCCACGCATCTTCGAAAATTACGTGCTTTTTCTGTAATTCTTCAAAATATATACCCCTGAAATATATGTTTGTTTAGGCCCAGGAGGAGGCCAACATGTACGCCGCTAAGGCCGCCGCCGCCTCCCTAACTCCTGGAGGCTCACCAGGTAATACATATCATGAAAAATCGAGAATGGATTTACAGCTTAACACCCTTATAAGGCCGGAAAAGTCTTATGTGCAGTAAGAATGCGTTTGATTATTTAAGAGCTGACTCTAAATAATTGCTTATATTTTTATTCTCACTAAATTATACTTTTCCTAAATCAATATATTTAAGTGTAATTAGTATGGATATTCATGAAAATGTTTTGATCATTTATAAGCTGACTAGATTTCTTTGAAATAGCAGGTTTAGGAAATTAAATACTATTATAAGAATGAATATTTGGACACACAATGAACATTTTATATCAATACTTTTAATATTCCTATATTTAAACAACCAAAAATTAACTACACACCATTTATATTTGTTATAATATGTATGTATATTGTATATCTTTGTGTGTGAATAAACCGTTATTTGTAAAAAATAAGTAGAGAGAGAACAGCATAATTTTTAATGTTTAAAACATTTCATACAACGCAAAAACTAAAATCAAGCTGTAATCACAATATGATCATCTTACCGTTTAAAATGGAGGGGTTTTTATAAATATGATGACTATTTACTAAACTGAAAAATATATAAAAAACACAAGTTGAAGATTATTTAACTTTACTGTAAACATGAACAAGTGAAAGTCAGAGAACCAAAAGGTGCATAGGTTCAATAGGGGATGTTAATTGTTAACCCTTAGTATTGAAATGCAAAATAAATTGGCTTTATCTCAATTCTCGATTTTTGTTAATGATATGGGGGCAATTCGACACTATGTGACACAAAAATCAAGGTTTTACCTTAAAACCACAAACTACTTCTACCTGATGCAATGCTCTGATCAACATAAATTTTTTTAAATTATGTTCATATTGGGCCAAATCACCCATATAACTTATGCACCCAAAAAAAATTTGTATCCCTCTTCGCTTGTTACTCTAATGAACCTTGAACAAAATAAAAATTGTTTCTATTTTCCAGGTCCCATGATGTCCCCGCACTCTCAGTGGGGTGGAAGCCAGTATTCCGGGGATTATTAGTTCAGCGGGGGAGTGGATTTCTGTGTAAAGGAATTTTTAACATTTTGATGTTTTAATTGTTTAACCATGGTTTCTTAAATTGATGCGTCTCAAAATCGGGGGGGGGGGGGGGGGGGGGGGGGCATGAATAGTTAGTATAATTTTGATTTTTTTTTATTAAGATAAATATTGAAATAATTTCGATTAAATGTTTTTGTTATTAGCAAAAACTTGAGTTAGCTATTTTACTAAATCCTTAATTGTTTGTGTGAATGAAAATGATTTTGAAGTTTTGCAGTACATGTAGTTGAGTAATAGTATTTAATATTGTAATGTGTAATTGTATTTTTCATAGTATTATTGTAAGAACTGTCCGCTTTAACTTCATTATTGTGTTTGGATTGTAATTTCGTATCTTTTCCTGCCAAGTGAACTTTGTCGGTACTTACGCCCATAGTCCTCCTTTGGTGTAGTTTAAATTTCCGACGCTAGGGTTTAAGACCAGCTAGGTGAACTTGGTTACATGTACATTGTACAGTACATTGTTCTTATCAGTGCTCACAGTACACAATCTTGTACACAAGTCTTCAAAATGTCCGATTGAGAGAGTGTTGAAATACATTAATAATTTTATGCATTTTTCAGGGACAATGTTTCATTTCACCACAGACTATATCATGCCGAACGGTATACGACCTTTAAAAGGTCATCTTTAAATAAAAACGAAAATATTTAATTTATAACTAAATAAATAAATAAAACGATTGTCTTTAATTCTTTACCAAAGATCATCGGCCTAACAAAAAGAATTTACCGTTTAATACTCCAAAACTTCCAATAACACATTTGTTCTAATTGCTATGGTTTATCCTTTTTAATTTTTACTGAACTTACCCAAAATGAAAAGACTTACCAATTTGGTTCAACCGCGCTTAGTTGCTATTTCGAGAAATATTTTGTTTATACCAGAGGCATTTTCTCGTCTTTTTATAGATTTGAGAGAAAAATTACTTTTTAAAAAATAATAATATTTTAGTTGCAACTCCGGAACTTCATTTAGTCAATCTTCCATCCTTTGTCCCTTCTTGTTTTCCCTCCATTATTCCCTCCAACCTTCCCGCCGTTCCTGCCTCCAACTTTCCCTCCAGCTCGGCCTCCATTTCAACCAGTTCTACTAGTCCTCAGATGACTTCTACAGCCTCCAGTTCTGCTTCTGATGCTCCTCTTGATAACAGTAAGATAAAAGGATTTTTTATCAACAAAAACCTGCTGATTGGAGACCCCTATTGATTACAATTTTAATTATCTGAATTAAAAAAACAAACATTTAATGAAATTTTTGGGTGAAAAGTTTCAAAAGACGTGTCAAACTTGCCAGTTGATGTCTATTACCCCTAATGCTGCAGAATCATTTAAATTCGGTGATGGTGATGGACCAAACCTCTGAAGAGTAAAAAAAGTAGATGTTAGTTTCACAATCCACATTTATTGAAAATATATTTCGGTCCGGGTTGACCCTCTTCAGTTCTAACGATTTAATAACCATCAAAATCGATATTAAAAAATGTTTACTACCAAAACAAAATAAACAAGCAAGTAAGAAAATGGGCCATCAAAGGGACAAAAGGGAAACGAACTACGAACTCAGCTCATGATAAGGAAAAAAACTTATTTGCAAATATTCACTTTTTAAAGAATGGTTAAGAAAATTTGATGTTCTTTCGGTCATGAAGATTAAAAACCATTCACATGTAACCAACCCTGGTTAGGCGGGTCCAAACTGCATTGTAAATTGTTATTGCTTATTTTTAATATCTCATGCTTTGTAGTTGAATAAAAATATGTAATGAAATGTATGTATATTGTAATGTATAGGGATACCTTGTGGTGGGGGTCGATCTAATTAACAAACTTTTACGTAAATGGGCTTGTCTGAGGATTTAAAGAATTGGGCATAAACAGTAAACAATATCTTTTTTTAAAAGAATAAATTTTTATGTATAACAAATATCACTTTCGTAGATGGAGATGAGAGAAAAATATTTATCGGAGGTTTGAGCTGGGAGACCAAGGAGCCTCAGATTCAAGAATACTTCGCACAGTACGATAATTTACATTATTTTCATAAAATACCGATAACATCGCAAGCGCTTTTACAGAATATTTGCATTATTTTTTTATTCCAAATATAAATTTTTCTTTTCTTATTCTTTATTTCTTTTCTTTAATTTTTGATTTTTATAAATTAAGAAAAAGTTTATAGGATTACACACTTTTCAAGCTGGAAAATAACAATCTTTCACATTATTTATCAGATAAAGCTTTAAAGAGTACCGTTGTGAATCGGGCATTGGCCCTCTTTGAATGGAGGGTTCACTTGAACTTGCATCACCAGTTTCTTTTAGTAATAATAGCTTCGTTAACCCGACAAATTATGAAACCAATATTTAGGTTAAAAACAACATTGGCACATATAGGCATAATATTTTTTTAAATTTTTTTAATGATCTTATAAATTTTCAGATTTGGTGAGATAGAGTCTGTGAACCTGAAGGTAGATCCTGTAACAGGTCGGAGTAGATGCTTTGCTTTCCTCGTCTTTAAACATTCAACCTCAATCGAAAAGGAATTAAATACACAATTTTGAATTTATTTTAATACTAGACTGTTCGGGCACTTCGCACCCCGTTTCTTAAATTTTCAATATTTCACAATTTTTTCCTTTTAAATTGGTGCTTTTAAAAAAATGTACGTCAACATTTTTTCCAGCCAAAAGTTTTCAGTTTTGACGTTCGAACCTTCCTTGGGGTCATGCGAGTTAACTCAAAAAAAAATTTAGGAGTATTCCTTAACAGAGTGATAATAAGTAAATATAAGAATAAACTTGCTACTTTGTAATTTTTTCTCCGGAGCAACTGAATGATTTCCCCCCTGGCCCCTCTATATTTCTTGATCTTAAACACCCATGTGGGCGTCATTGTTTTAATGTTATTTGTGACCTCCACTCCTCCTGGCGTCCTCCTATGAATGATATCTTTGGTTAAGACTATATTTATACAATTTCAAAATGAATTGCGGCATTGATTGACTGACATTAGTCTTCATCAGCTTGCCCTGTAAATGTAAACAACTTTTTTTAGCTGTTCATCTCTTTAGATATTTGTATTTGAGAATATCTAGGTTATTGACGGTAGAGAACATGCCCTCAGTAGTAAGAAAATAGACGTAAAAAAAGCCAAGGTGATAATTTGGAAATTTTACATTTTCATTATTTACTACTAAAATTTCCACGTAAACTCGTTATTTATTTTTCTATGATAGCGCTTCAAATCCGACTTCGTTATCTCTAGCATTAGCATAAGTATAAAATTAACTTTAATAAACACCTTGTTTGTTGCAGGGGGATGGGGTGGGTTTGGATGTTCTTTAAAGAATACATTTAGATAAATCTAGCTGTAACCCAGGTTTATTATAGTTATTTCCATCGTTTACCCGCGCTAGGTCTGAAATTCTTATTTTTGCTGAAATTCCCAGTGCAGCCCGTGGATGAAAAAGCATATTAGCTAACATATTCTTATATAAATATTAACGAAGAGTTTTATTATATAGAAGACTAGCTTGGAAAACCAGCTTTGCCGGAAAACTAAACTTTTTATATACAAGTCAATCAACTTTACTTATGAATTGTTAAACGAGTTTAAGTTCTCCAATCAAAACTGTAGACAAATCATGTAATGTGTTCATTAGTTCTAAACGGACAACTAAACAAACAGAAACCCAAAAAGAGATTAATACTGTATTCATATAGATAATGTTTAGGCTAAGCCTGGTAAGATATTTGTCGGTGGTTTGCCACCTGATTTAGAAGAGGAAACTATCAGGACATTTTTTACACAGTTCGGTCCGGTCACAGAGTGTGAGATGCCGTTCGATAAGGTAACAGTTTGGATTTTAGACAATTTTGACAAAAATGTTTTCACGCATTTCATGATCCTGTAGCAGCAATAATTCAATTCTAAATGAGAGTTAAGAATGCTCAAGAATTATGAGGAAAAACCGGTAATCCAGGAACCAGTCCGTCTTCATCTTTCAACTCGTGCAGATCTATCCTGGATAATAATATTTGTTGATTAAATAAATATCAAATAAACTATATCCTAGATTTGTTATTACTCTCTAAAATGCCTCAATAAAAGGTAGTAAATAAACTTATATGTTCCAAAGATAGTAACTAGTAAGTAACATTTTTACATGAAAGAAAATAAAACCACCGTCGTATTTTAATAGTTAGAAATTGGAAAATTAACAGCTGCATTTCTATTTAAAAGAAAGATCACAATTCCGCCTATGTTGACTAATACTTCTATAAAGTGTTTTTGTTAAAGGATTAATTCTTTTTCCCCTCACATATACCTATCACAAAAAAAAAATTTTTAAATGTCTGAAAGACTAGATCACAATTTAGGACTGCATGCAAAAAATCAGAGAGAAATCTCTATAAACAAAGTCAAAAGGCCTGGCCCCCCTCCCCCATGTGGACATTCCTCTGTGAAATTAAGAGAAAAAAATTATTTAGAAAAAAAATTTTATTGTTGTTTTTAAGAAAGTATTACTGATTAGGGAATAAATATCGGCCACGATCTCTAAAAATTTTCTGCCCTCTGGATGTCACATTTTTCAATTCTGATGAAATTATGACACAAGGTTTTCTAATTCCAAGGACACATTTCTTATCTTCAATTTGAAAAGTATTGGGAGAGGGGATGTTAAATCTGATCTTTGCAGAAAACCTTAGAATTGTAGATATCTAGATCAATGGTTGATCTTTTCTTTTTAGTAATCTGCAGATAAATTTAATCTTACATAAATATCCAGGAAAGTGTAAAATGTAATCAATCAGAGTGCTAATTTTAGAAACTGAACAGCCAATCTGAAGCCGAGAAATTTTGGAATTTTGCAAGCAATTATTGAGAAAATTCTTATTGGTCGGAATCCAGCAGGGATATCTAGAAGAGGGGATTAAGCAGAAAATTAAAAGTGGCCACAGTGGATACAGAGATTTAGATATCGATATCCAATATCCATCCAATATAAAAGTTTTCAGCTCTAAAGTCAAAGTCAAAGTGTGAAACGGTATCCATCGATATTCGATATCCATTTTTTCAAATTTGAAATTTGACTGAGAGATAAATGCTTAATCCATTCATGTTAGTTATCACCACGGAATATACAAGAGGAATTAAATTAATTCGCACAAATAGTGATGGGGGGAGGGGGGTTTATGGTTGATTTGGTCTTGATTAACCTTCCTTTGTATTTCTATCAGTTAAAAGAAAAAACAAGGTTTCTGCATTTTGTTGTGGTTTAAGCTTGGTTTACAGTGATGACTGCTATTCACGGATCTTTGCAGATGTGGTTTGAAGTTTACCAAATGCAGAATAGATGAACTTAACAAGAAAGTCTGAATGTACTTTTTACACCATAAATTTCAACATTTTGTCTCGACCTATATTCCATTTATTATTTTCTAGCGATTTTAGTTTTTTAACCGATGTATTTGCACTTTTTTCTTTTTAGAAAAGCATTTTTAATCTTTTTTAAATCTTCAATTTATGAAAACAACAAAATGTATAATAACTGTAATTTAAATTACATAAAAGGGAAGTTATGTAATTTTTAGTTTAAATCATTTTATTATTTTAATCTCCATTTAAATAAGTCTAGAATATATCATTGTTAGTATAATAATGATAATAATAATCACTGTCAAATCACTCAAATGTCGATTTATCAATCCGAGATTTCATACTTGAGCTCCCTTCCGTTTAAGTTCCAATGAATTAAACCATCGACCCTTCTGTACACTCAGATACCTAATGGTCGGTACCATTACTATGTTGAATTTTGAAATAAAATGTCTTTGTTAATCCTATGTATAAATATAAAATGGTTCGTTGACATCCTGAGAAGCATTTTTTGTCCAATCTCTTTGTAAGTTCGTATATTTATTATCATAGATAAAAGACGACATTTCTTATATTATATTCTAGACAATTCGAAGATGACAAATATTCCACAGTTTGCTTATCACCACTGTATTATATATAGACATGTGTTATTTTAAAGGTTAGGCTTTATTTATTGTTTAGGAAAAGAACCAGAGGAAAAACTTCTGTTTTGTTACATTTGAACGTGAAGAAGTAATGAAGGTCGTCTTGAAAACACCAAAACAGAAAATAGGTAGTATTTTAACTAAACCTATTCAAGGGCGAATACAGGGGGGAAGGGGGGTAGTGCCCCCACCTAGACCTGTAAACCCCTAGAACTCAGAGCTATCACACTTTTCAAATCTGAGACTGAAGAGTTAAGAGTATGAAAATAAATTTATTTGCTGTTTTTTTCTGCCAATTTGTTTAAAGAAGAGATAAAGTAGTACTTGTAAGGTAATTGGACTGTATTGTTATTTAAAAGTATCCAAGAAGCGAAATATTTTGAATTTACCCTTCAAATTTTGCCCCCATCCCCCCCCCCTAGATTTATTTCTGTATACGCCCTTGAACCTATATACACCATTTTTTTTAGCTAAGTAGTAAGTAATAAGTATATAGTATGACTCACCCTGTATTATTCTTAAATCATCTATCTAACTCCTGGTCTTTGGTTTAAAGAATATACTTCTAGGAGAGGTAGAGGTTGACGTAAAACGAGCCACTCCCCGTCCCAAAGGATCCGGTTACGGCAGTGCCGATTATTACGGCGGAATGGATCAATACTACGGTTACGGTGATTTCCAGAGTTGGTACGGAGGCGGTAAGGCAACCAAGGATAAATCCGCTAAAATCACTCCTTACTAGATACAACTCCAATTATTATGAGTCAACTGATCTAGGATATTAGGTCTAATCTAATAAGAGAGTTCACAATATGAAGTAGATCGGTGCCCATAAGAGAAATTAACAGTCCTGTATTTTAACCTCCTAACATTATAATTCAGATAAATCGGCGTCCACCTTTGTTTGTAAAATGGTTAATTACGAATCCAAGGGGACCGTTTATAACTCTACTTCTTAATCTGAATAATTGTTCGTTAAGAATTAGCTAAATATGAAATTTATAATATGTTAAAAAATTTACAATATTATCAGAAATTTACAGGATATTAAGAAATTTACAATATTTTATGAAATTTACAATGTACTAAGAAAATTACAGTATATAAAACTTACATCAAAATAAAAAAAATTACCAGAACTATATTATATCCCAAAATTTTTAAGAAATTAAGAAATTTACTTATTAGTTTATAAAGAAATTAAAAATATGTAAATAAATTTGAAATATTCAGCAAGAAGGTTAAAAAATACTATACTCTGAAAAAAAAATCGTTTAATTCTTCAAAGAAATTCAGTTTAATTGTCATAGAGGCATTATTTTGTTAAAGTAGCTCATTTGTCAAAAAAAAAATTTAAGGGACAGTCCATGTAAACTTGTTAAGTGACCCTTTGATTAAAATATGTCATTAATAGTTCGCAATGATACCCTTAATTATATATCGATGGCGGTCATGATGAACAAATCTTTTAAGGTTGAGGTTAAAGGTACCTGTGTGTTTCCAAGGTTGAGTTTAAAGGTACCTGTGTGTATCCAAGGTTGAGGTTAAAGGTACCTTTGTGTTTCCAAGGTTGAGGTTAAAGGTACCTTTGTGTATCCAAGGTTGAGTTTAAAGGTACCTTTGTGTATCCAAGGTTGAGGTTAAAGGTACCTTTGTGTTTCCAAGGTTGAGGTTAAAGGTACCTTTGTGTTTCCAAGGTTGAGGTTAAAGGTACCTTTGTGTTTCCAAGGTTAAAGGTACCTTTGTGTTTCCAAGGTTGAGGTTAAAGGTACCTTTGTGAATTGTTGATGTTACTCAGGAAATGAATGGTCACCTTTAATTACGATGACAGTCCCTTTAAATTGTTTTCCTATTTTGTGATCCTCGTGCTGTGACAAAATTTGTGATTTAAAATTCATAAATTGTAAAAAAAAATATTTTTTAATCGTTTATTTTTCTGTTTTATTTTTGGATTCGATAATTTTTTCAGTTCAAGTTTTGTCACAATAATTTCTTTTTTCCTGAAGTGGAGAACCCATCTACAACTAAAATCACACGAAAAACTAAATTTATAAATCATAAAACATCTTAAAAGAAATGGTAACTAATTTTTGAAAAGTAAATTTTGTCGGTTGGTACATTCAGACCAGACAGTTGTAAAGATTCACTTTAAAATACTCGGCTAATTCAATTTTAATAAAATTTCATTTAAGATTGTAAAATTAAAGAAAGTTCCAAATCATATCATGTTTACGTGTTTGTGCACTGATGCAGGGTGTTCCATTAAACATGGGATTTTATAGACGACTTAATGGTCTGAATAGTAGAATAAAGCTAAGCTTGTATACGTGAGCTTTCCTGTATATCTTAATGGTTATGTGAATTCCGGAAAAAAAAATATAAACACGTACACAGAAGATGACATTCCTCATATCTCATGACTAGGTGTATTCGGTTTCAATTGTTACAACGGCAATACTTCAATTTTTGGTTGAACGCGATAAATGTTGCTTTTGCTAAAGTTGGCATTTATTTCATTTGTTTGTTGGGACACCCTGTGTTGTTTTCGGTATTTATCCTGTTATATGAGAGATTTAAGATTCTACTTTTAACAATTTGATAAAATGACACACAGCGTAATAACATACACAAGAAAGTGCTTGAAATATTTATTCACGTAAAATGCAGATATTATTATATTTATCATTTGTGTAAAAATATTTTATTTTTGGATAAATATTGTTTTTTTGAAAAAGTAGAATTTCAAATACTACTCTGTTTATATATCTTATTGTAGTTTAAATTGTCAGATTGTTGTCAAAACATTTTACTGGGTACAATGTGCCCTGTACTTAGTCCTTAGTCTCAAAGTACCCAGTACATATTGCCAAGAAAAACTAAAATCATAAAAAACGTGTGCGAAATAAAACTTGAATTTTAATTTGACCCAATCTTCATCCTGCCCCCTTTGCCAATTCGCACAAGTTAGAATATTTGTTGTTGACTCATATATTATAGAAGTTTACGTTGGATTTAAAATCCCTAGACTTCACAAATTTTAAATTATAAGAACAAAATTATATATTTGAATCAAAATCTATTTAAGTAAAAACATCATTATTTATAAAAATGAATATATGTTAATCTTTTCAAAATAAAATTTTCTCTAATCTTAGATTTGTTTTATATTTTCCTAGATTTATTCTATTTTTTTGTTTTTTTTCCTAAATTAAGATTTTAAACGCTGATTTTTTTAAAATAGACCTGTCATGCCTGCAAAGAACTCGTCCCTGCAGCGAACTCTGGTTATGCACGCGGCAAGGCGCAAGTTTCTTGAAATGTAAACAAACAAGAATAATTTAATTTATTTGAGTTTACGGCTAATTTTCTGTAATTGATCCATCGTTTTGACGCATAACATCACTGGGGTCTGTCCTAGAAATCACTTTT